TGAAATAGCACAATTTTAATTAACTCTCAACACTTATAGTGTTATTCCAGTCTGATAACTAAACGTAAATAGTGCAATATCCATTTGATATTATTCCCAAAAGACTTCAAAAGTCAAAACACTACAAAAAGTAAATTTCTCTTTATAGCTATAAAATAAAGGGTGTATGTAAGTGACCAGGTACTATTAAAATAAGTTTATAATGATAAACAAAATGATAATGTTGTAAATGATAAAGAAAAAAGTGGAACAACAACACTCAAATCCTCCATTTGATAATATGTAACACCAATACAATGATCAACAACTTCAAAAAACCAACAAAATTCCTCTGATGTAACCTTATGATGTCACTATTATTATAGTTTGTTGTGATCAAAGCTGTGGAATTTCTCAGTTGATGTTACATAATAAATGATGAGCATATTTACTTATGATGAATACAGGTGATTCTTTCCTAATATTCATAGCTGAAAACCATTTTTAACATGACAGATTTTTGTAACGTTGTCCAATTTTAGATTACTAGAGCTCATTTTATAGCCCATTTGATACTGATCATTTATTTCCCCCATATGACCTGTTTCTGATGTGTGATGAATAAGTTATTGATCTGTAGAGATTGAGAAAATAAGATTTTTGTCATGTAAATGTTGCTTGTGTATATGTAAGCACAAAATCTGAAATTCACACCATTTTCTTTGTTTCCTTATACCTTTTTCACTAATCCTCTGTTACTATTAATTTAAAGGTTGTACATTATGAAAGAAAGTATTTTGCTTCAAATGAACTACTACTCATCTTAATCTGACAAGTTTTGACATGTGTAATTAGCTGAAAAGCTTCACTCTTGATGGATTTTGGCCATTTTCACCACTTTTCTCATCTAATATTGATTTCTCTTCAATCAGAAGATCATCCTAAGTGAGTAAAATCATAAGAATAACTTTAAAATCAATCAAAAAAACTCTTGGTGCCATAAATCCCTCAATGACATCACTACACAGGAATTCATCTCATAGTACCCTTGTTTACCATCCTCAAAATTCCCTCTTTCTTGAAAAACTTCACACCTCCCTTATCAATTCCAATGATTAAAGCTGTCAATGATGAATCTGAACTTCCTCTTCCATAGCAGAACTTTCTTGAACCTTTAACTCCCATAACAATAACCTAAAAACCATTTTCCAATATTTATACCTTTATTTTTGACTTTTTTATGAATTTCTTTATTCTTTATTCTTTCTGATAATGTTTAGATAGTTTTAAATTCAATAACTATAATGTAAATAATCAATGACTACATAAGATTGATTTCAAAGCAATGAACAATGAGATGAGAAAAATATGAAAAAACCTGCTTTCGTTCTAAAGACTCCAATTCTTCTGATAATGATATAATCTTTTGATCCTTCTTGATTGACCCTACAAATTAATTACCACACTTTATGATGATATTTAGTAAGATCTTGATGGTGACAAAGCTAGGAAGGGTTTCTGAAGGTCATATTTATGTGAAAGAGGTGAGAACTGAGGAAACACCTCTGTTGTCAGTACATTGCTGTTTTCTTGTAAGGAAACTTGACTTACTGGCTGGTGATATTTTTTTGATGGACACACCATCTTAGATTTTTGTCATACACTCATAATAGTTCTGTCTGGACTGAGAGGTGAACACAAGAATTATTGTTAGCAAGAATTACAGTGGAGATTGTAGAGGGGAATCGCGGACAACAACTAGAGTTGATAATGATCTAGTGAAACAAGTGAGAAATGTGACAAGGGACAAAGCTAAACAAGTGACAAGAGAAACACAACTCTTATACGAAACATGTTTCACAAGGCATTACAACAATGACGCATCAGGAAAGAAGTGAAACCATTCTAGCCACAAACTTCCTAAACATTCTGTGTGGTTTAAACCGAGAGAAGGTGAGGATAGGCTTTGCGCCTGGTCATCTCCGATGCCCAGCCAGGCAGAGCCGTAACACCCCCCCTCAACCTTTTAGAGGTTTACAACCAATATGTGTAACCACTGAGCTTTGTAAGCTTTGAAGAGATGAAACTATCAAATACCCTAGCGAGTATATACTTTTGATTTGGTCAATTGGTCCAATTGATTCAAGTTTCGATCAAAAAGGTACTCATTCACGTGAAGTAATGCGCTAAGTGATGGAAAAAAATGATTTCATGGTATCATCTACGTTTCCAAATGCTATCTCTTTTGAATATAATTATCATACATACTTCGTTTTGTAGAGGTTTTGGTCGATTTGTAGGCTGAGAAGCCTGAGCGTTGGGTTGTGCTAACCCATGGATTATTCTTCCATAATCCAATACCTTCATTTAGATTTCGAAAACAAATCACTCCTTCTTGCTTGACCGAATGCGAGAGGTAAGATTCTGATAATAGTCTTGTGAAAATACATGTTCTTCACATCCAAAATTCAAGGTTGTTACTTGGAATGTACACATATAGCCACTAGCGATGATAAGTGGAAAAAGAATTGTAGCCATTTACGCTGACAAGGTGTATGATGTGGGAATAGATGGTGAAATAAGAACAACTAATGGATAGAATCGAAAAGGATGAGCTTGAGTGTGTTGTCATTATCCAGTTGAGAAACTGTGATTTGGCTGACTTCTGTGCGCTCCTAGAGAAATCGATGTACATATGAAAATTGTAGCGAATCAAAAGTTAATCAGGTGAGTGCGACGTCAATATCCGGTTGAGAAACCGCGATGTGATTGACGCCCGCGATCCCGGGAAATTTGATGTATGCAAAGATCATGATAGGCAGTTTGATGTCGATATCCAGTTGAGAAACTGCGATGTGGTTGACATCCAAACTCCTGGAAAAATTGATGCATGCGAATTTTGACATATCGAGAATGAAAAAGGTGAGTGAAACGTCGTATCCAGTTTACTAACTGCGATGTAATTGACGTGAGTGCACTCCAAAAAGACTTAATTTGTCAAAACCTGAGGTGTATCAAAAATAATAAGGGATTGCGATGTTGATATCTAGTTGACAAACTACGATGTGATTAACATCCGTGGTCCCAGAAAAAAAAATTATGTGAATTTTGATGTATCAAAGGTATTAAGAGAGGGTGCCTGTCAATATCCAGTATAGAAAACTGTGATGTGGTTGACGTTCTTGCACCTCTTATTGTCGTCCTCCGCATTCATGCGGACTTTGCATTCTTCCTGTGAGTCGACTGCTTTCAAGCTTCTCGTAATGATAAAATTTCAAATCTTAAACTTGGATAATGGGAATTGTGAATAATTTGTTGATCAATAGCAAAGGAAGTATAAGGATTGCCAAAACAGAGCTCTCGTTGAGCGATAAAGATGCTGGCGTCAGATTTTCGGGTAAGTTCAATCTTCAGAAGTAAATAGCGAGCGCAAGGATAAGGAGAGGATTCCTTCCAGCCCGCTGTGCTTTGCAAAACACCATGGTCCAGGTAACCGGAATCATTGTGAGAAGCCGAAAAAAATTGATAACCCGAGCGTTGAAGTCTTCCTAAAATATGAGCTAGCGATCCGGTCCAGTTTTGCAAGGACGAGCGATGAGAAGCCTAATGAAAGGTTCGTCTTAAGTCCGAAAGCAATAGTTTGAAAAAGAAAATCCGGATGTCCATTGTGGCATTTTGATTTGATGCTTGGTGTGCAAAAGTAGCGGAAGTCGACGTAGGGTTTGCAGTTGATGGCTCACTTTCCATGTTGGGATGGAATCGGAATTGGTCAGGGATTTTGGTTCTATAAGATCTCCAAATATCGATGTGGTGTCGAAAGCATCGTTGATATCCTCGGTAACGTAAGGCTCATTACCTGTAGAGGGGAATCGCGGACAACAACTAGAGTTGATAATGATCTAGTGAAACAAGTGAGAAATGTGACAAGGGACAAAGCTAAACAAGTGACAAGAGAAACACAACTCTTATACAAAACATGTTTCACAAGGCATTACAACAATGACGCATCAGGAAAGAAGTGAAACCATTCTAGCCACAAACTTCCTAAACATTCTGTGTGGTGTAAACCGAGAGAAGGTGAGGATAGGCTTGGCGCCTGGTCATCTCCGATGCCCAGCCAGGCCGAGCCGTAACAGAGATGAGCAAGTTGTCACCTACCAATGCTGGTTTGTATGGTGCGGGGCCAGACTGTTACATAATGCCACAAGCTGTGGTGTATGCCATAGACTAAAAACAAGAATGGTTAAGTTAGTGAATCTGTGACAGAAACATTAATCAACAATTATTAACTCTGCACTCACCAGATGAGCCAGGGAATGAGATTTGCTCTCCAACAGTTGCACCGGTTGACAAGAGATGTCTTTGGGTTGGAAATGTGTTCATGAATGGATGCCCTTGCATGTAGATTCTGAAGGTGTCTGAAGACCAATGCCCTATGGACTGAATTGTCTCCATTGGAAGTCCAGCTTGTGCCAATGCAGTTGCTCCTCCCGCTCTTAAAGAGTGTCCTGATTGTGAGCTATTAAAGATTGAGTCTAGTCGGCCAATAAACCAAGATCTTGTTGGTACAGAGCTGGTTTCTTGAATTGATCATAAAGGGATAGCTGGGAATTTCTTATCACAATTGATGGTGTACGTTAGTAAAGTCAAGATTGAGCAGAACAGGTCATTGTAGCGGTTTGGAATTGCCACTTCACTGCCGAGGAATTTGAGGTCACCTGTGTGATACTGAAGAATGTATATATGGTACCACAGTTAGAAATAATGATTGATGATTGCTTGATATATTTTCTAGGATTTTATACAATTGTTATTAAGCAATATTGAACTCTGCATGGGAACAACAATTTCTGTGGAAGCGGGCATAGGGGTGTATGTAACAACTTTAGATGTGAAATCTGGAACTACAACATTAAAGGGAGCTTGAGTTGAAACTACATTAGGATTTGATTCAGAACTACCGTCATTCAAATTTCTTTGTGTGCTAAGAAATGGACTCGGAGTACAGGAAAAGGTGCTATTCATTGTTGGTTTTGCTTGCCTTTGCCCTTGTTTGGACCCTTCATGCCTTTCATCGCTTGATAATAAGCTCTGCTGAAGGATAACATGTGTTGCATGTTCTGGGCTTCCTCTGCGGCTTGGGCTGGTCTGTTGTACGGAGCGTTCGATGGTTTGTGAGATTGGTGTCTTGATGGTCCAGTTGATGATTCTGCTTGGGATTGTTGGTGGTTCTGACTGGCTGTTGGTTTGAGATATTGCTCCTTGCCTATGAATCCCCCTGAGGTTCTTGCTAGAAGTTTCTGCTCCTTGACGTAAGGGTCCCAAGGGTGGCAAAGTGCCTTCACCGCTTCCTCACCAATCAGAATTGTCAGAGTGTGGTGAGTCAATTTCCACAACTTCAGATAAATCATGATATTCAGTGTGTTGTTTGGATTGGATTGTTGAGCGTCTCTCCACTTGGCAAAGTGGTACTCGTGCAGTTTCACTATGTGATCCTGTTGCTCTAAGTCCTGAGCCTCCTGGATTTCCTGAATCAACGGTTTGGGTGGTTGGTTGGGCTGCATTGGAACATCCTCGTTTACTCCCAACAGAACTGGAGCTTCTGATGGATTCTGAGTAGTTGAGCCTTTTGAGGCTACTGACTCTGGAAGATTTACGAGGAGGCATGGTAAATCACTTATTATAGCAATAAAGAGAAACAAAATATAATAAAAAGGGAATGGTAATTTACTAGATGGATCTCCAGACAATGTCGTCTCCGTCGACTGTGTCGTACCCGTTATATGAGGAGCTGGACGTAACTGGCTGCTCTGGTTCTGGGCTGACAAGGCTGATTGGGTTTGACCTACTGCCTGGGTCGCTTTGGCCTGAACCTGTTTGGACTGGTTGCTCTTGGACACTGGTTTTAATCAGATGTAAGTCTTACTGTTTTAGTAAAACAAGAAAACAGAAACAGTACATTTGACTAACTTTTGATTTCTCAGTTTTTCAGCTTCTCTTTCTAATCTTTTGATATAGTCTAGGATCTCTCTGATAATATCTGTTCCTTGTACGTTGACTAGTTGGATCTGAATAAGGGGATTAATCACTATTTCCAGTTTCTTGCTGATTTCAAGAAGCTCCCAAGCTGTTGAATTCGTTAAATGCAAAATTTTGACGACTTGTTTTGAAGACAGGAATGACTGATCAAAGATAGAGCAGCACCAGAAAGAAACTTCAGCAGAATGATCCAAAAAAAAAGAAAAATGGAGACTGAAAAGCAATTCACACTTTACTTGTAGATATTGTTTAAATGATATCTTTAAACCAAGCTTCAATTACTTCCACTTGCTCCAGCAAACGCAGGTGGTTCAAATACGGATGATTCAGACGTAAATGCTCAAAACCTACGTAAGTACGATACGTAGGATATGCTTTGTCTGTAAACGGGTTCTCTTCCACAACTGAAGAATACGGTAGTTCCTGAAGTAATGCAATAGATGATTGATCTACTGTGTTAAAAGAAATTTTTGAAACCAAAAAAGGATAACTCAAAACAGAAAAAAGAGTAAAAAAAATTGATATTTTTTATGGGGATTTATTGATTTGTTTTCCTAAGGAAATTGTATCTAAAAAAACTGAAAACAATGTTTTCTTTTTTTAGTCCCGAGTTTCATTATCACTCAATGAGGCCCCCAATTTTCAGGGCGGCTTATAATAATTATACGAGAAGGTCTAGTTCTCACCTTGTAATGGTCCTGACAAGGTAATCCTCTGGGTACGTGGATTATGGTTACTTGTGATACCTAAATAAACACCAACAACAATTGAGTTGTAAGTATATTATAATTAATAATATAGTTTCCTTTTTAGGAACACACAGGCCTACTGTGGTTAACAGTAGAGGATGGTCAATCCGTAGACCCGAGTTAATCTCTATAGCTCGAAAGCTAAGAGTGGCCTGCTATATAAATAGACAGGGATCTCTTCCAACTTTGCATTGCGAGAACTGAAGTATTGACCAAGTAGAATATCACTTACTCAAGATCAAGTAAGAGAAAAGGTTCCTATACTGACTATAGTACGTTAGATGGTGATATAAAGGTGCCAGGGTCAAATTCTAGTAATATCTGAGAATTAGAAAGAGAGACGATGATATCAGGATCAAGTAGTTCTATATATCTGGATAGAAAAGGGGATTAAATACGTTTATTGTTACTGCAGATAATTTCAAGAACACACTGGGGAACTATTTTAAGAAGTGGAGCATATAAGAAAAAAGTAAGACTTCTAATATATGATGGACTTCGTAAAGGTTTTAAGAACACTGACGGTTACTTGTAAATTAAGGTTGGTAAAAATTCGATGCCTCTCCTTCTGTTCGCTTAGAAGGAGGGCCTTTTATACTTTGCTCCTGATTCGATTTGTGGTCTAGGCCTCGGAGCTCTTACTTCCTGCCATAATCTGTAGATTTTTATGTAAAATTATATACCGAGGATTAGATCAGGTCCTATTTTGTAAGTAATCCTTTTACGTATTCTCATAAGATCCGTAATCACTTCTCATACTAAAAAGTTTACTTGGTCAATTCTTTCTAGTGATATTCAATAATGTGTTAGGATTCTCCTTGCGTGTCTATCAGAATTAGTCTTGGCTCTCTTTCTTTTGTCCATACAAATTATTAGTTCGTACGTATAGTATTAATTCTGTTTAATCTTTTATTATTTTATGTAAGGGCTCTTACTAATATATTTGACTTGCCTGTGATTTGGATACGGTGTCCTGTTTGATTCACATAGTTAGAATCTTCTTTCTGTGTTAGTGTCAATTCTTGTAGACCTTTGAAACTAGGTCGTTAAGTTGTATTCGTTATTATTATTTCTTTCTTTTATGTAAATTTTATATTTCATCATTAGATCTTTGAAACTAGATCCTTAAGGTGTGTTTGTAAGATATTTGTTATCGTGTTTCTTATAGATACATTTCATAAAGAAAAAATAAAGACTTTATATGTATGAAGTTCTTTTGGTGTTTTTCGTGGATGAAAACACTCGAGGACTGACAACTACGGCGATGAGATCTTCTGGGAGATTGGTATGACAAAGAATGTGAGTGTGATCTTTGTTGTTTACATTTGAGCAAATGAGCTGAGGGTTTTGTAACAGATGGAAAAGGTAGGTTGGGGTTGACCCTTTCCAGGATTGGTGGAGGCTGAAAGGTACCTTCCGTGACTTGACCCAATCTTTTGTTATGATAGGGGTCAGATTGGGTGAAGCTCAAGCTGGCTGGCACGTGTAGCTCACATCGGGTATGACGATGTAGACAGCATGTGTTTTGTTGGCAGAGTCAAAATTCACGTGAGTGTCATGTGCCACCAATCATACTGGTTCAACGCGCAGAAGATTAGGACAAAACTGAGATGACCATCTTGATAACTACACTGAGCTGGTGGATTCAACTTCAACAACAAGAGAATGATTGAGACATGAATGCAATTGGGTAATTGAAGGGTTGCCGGGGTTGCTGTACATGATGTTTTCAAAGATGACCGTTGTATTACAGCCAATTTGAGAATGATGGCACTTTTTTAAAAAAAGAGATTGCACGCCACTGCGAACAAAACTGGCCGAAATCAAAGATTATGGGTTTTGTGAGTCATGATCATGAGCAGTAGACTCGCTCGTGATTGGACTCCTGGTGGTCATCGATTCGGGCCATGGTCATCGTTCTACTCAGCTGACTTTGAGGTTAGCAGCTTGAAGTTTGAGGCAGATTGATCAAGAACGGCAAGTGGAGATCACTGCTCGCGGGGAAATCTGCCTCATCGTTTTGCGTATCTGCATACTGGCCAAATCAAACCTCAGTCAGAATCTGGTTCATGACCGTTTCAAATGGTATTGCACGGCGACACATCTTCAAAAAAACAGTCGATCATTTGTCAAATTGGCGGTATCATTTTGAACTTGTAGAACGTTTTCATCATCCTCATCATCCTCATCGTCCTCATTGTCCTCATCGTCCTCATTGTCCTCATCTTCATCATGATTCTTCCAAGGCTCATTAAGTCAAATCAATTTAATGCTCGGCAACCTCATCGATGCAGGTTAACCCGTCTGTTTGAATCGATGATTATATCCACAAACTTTCGGTACATTTCTTTTCCTTGTCTCCTCAAAGCTCACTTTCCTTTGGCACCTAGATATGCGTACAGTGTATCACTTGCTTCAGGATTTTAATTTTCACCTCACATCACCACCTTCAAAATTTCTTGACATCTTCAAGTGTTAAGCTTATCCAAGTCCCACGCAAGGAAAGAGAAGGAGTTTTCCTCGGGAAATTTCTTGATAGACAGGAGCGTCTTAGAGAGGGGAACAAGAAGTCAACATGGTCCACGAATACACAGAAGGTATCATCTCAACAAAGCCCTCTGCCGCCGGCCGCGGCAGAGGGCTTTGTTTATAAGCTAACAGAAGTTATGTAAAAGAGTTTTACAATGAAAATTTCTCCAGCCAAACTTCCTCACAGGCAAAAGCGTGTCTCGTTGTCATACTAGTCCCTCGCTGCACACGAAGCGTGCGAGAAGCACTTGGATAAGTTCATCAAGGGCATATGAATCTGTTTTTCATTCCAAAATCACACGAGCCTTAGTCCGATTGGACTTTGCATCCGAAATTCTATCATCATTCTTTTGTTGATGATCAGATCTCAATCTTCGATTGCAGATCAAAACTTCTTCTCCTGAACCCTTGCCGTCCACGTAACCAGCTTGCACCCAGTCTGACTCAATCTAATCTCCTTAAATAGCTTGAATGAGACCCTGGAATACACCCACAGAGGGTACTGACGAAAAAACCGACCTTTTGTTGACGTAGTTTTTCGATACTAAACTGCACTCTATCAAGACCTACAGGAGCACAAAAGATGCACCAGAATGAAGGCTTTCTAATGCACTAGCTCGCAGCCTGGTAGCACCAATATTACCTAAGATATATCAATGTAACGCCCAAAAAAGGGCCAAAAATCGAGGGTCGGTTTTTGGCCTTGGAGGTCGAAAAAAAAATTGCGCCATCGCGATTTACGCCGCCGTGAGACATGATGCTGGGCTCTGTCTGGTCTCATCTGATAGCCCTACTCCATGCGCATCTTTTGAAGTGCTCTGCAGCTTCATAGAGGCACTGATGCGTAGTGTAGAGGCAAAAAACTGAAAATCATGCTCCGTCAGTACCCTCCATGGGTGTATTCCAGGGTCCTTATCTATCAGCTTACATCCATCAAGCATTCTTTACATAATGTTCTTTCAAACTTTCAAGAACCTTCGCTTCCTCCCCTTTAGCAATATTTATCATTTCCATTCTCATGAAGATTTTGATTGTCTTTTTTTAGTAACGTAGAAAGCTAAGATGGTCTTTCTAAAGCATGTCTGATCAGCCTTCCCATGCTGCAACCGAGAGATCTGACTAGCCAAGCTAGCACCAAGTTGAATCGACTGATTTCAAGAACTGTCGAACGATGGCAATCAGCTCAAAAAAAAACACAATAATCTTTCATGAGATGATCGTCATCACAATTATTCTTGCCAAGTTTGACTTTTCCATTTGCTCACCAACTTCATTGTCAATCGAAAGTATCTATCACATCCTCAGCGACCGTGCTCAACAGACTCTTTATTTGATCCAAATTCCTTTTCGAGGTTTCTTGAGCTGATACCACCTTGTTATCCACTGATATCTGGTCACTTGTCGAAGCACCGTACAACTCAACCGCTTTTCACTACTCTTACAATCCCTTTCTTTTTGTACTTCATCGTGATCTCAATCTAGCTCGGAATCGAGCCTCATCTCTTGGCTTGACCCTCATCGATCATCGTGAATAGTCTGTTTTACCTTGCCTCAAAACTTGAAATGTTGTCTTTGCAGCATACCAATTCGAATCAAGAACAAAACTTAGGATCTAGCATATCGGAATATGATCTCAATTCTCAAGACGAACTTCAAGTCATGGAAGAACTGAATGATAGCCTAAGCGAATATCATTCTTTGCCTGATATTCCTAATAGTTTGAGCTATAATGCTCAATCAGATACTGTTGCTGCTTCTGCTTCACCTGGTTTCTTGGGTATTGATTTTGATGGTGAAGATGATGATTGGTTTGATAAAGAATTCTCATCCAAATGGTAAGTGACTTTCTATGATCTCTTTCTTGATGATCGAATAGTCTGTTTACCACCGTATCTTTATCTTTTCTGACTATCATCATGACTTGCCATCCTCATCACTTTTATTGTTTTTTCGTACATCTTGTTGATCAAGCACAAACTCACATCACGGTCATAATTCAGAGACAAGATTGGATCAAATTCCTTTAGATCTTCTACCTTCTGCTCCCTTACTTAGACCACAGGCAATACACCAAGCCATCAACTTTTCCCCTCTCTGGCTAAATTCCCCTCCCAGTTCAGTTCTTTCTTCAAATAAGACACCTGTTCCGTCCTATAAACAAGGTCAATTACCTACCATATCTTACCCTTTCGAGCCCTCAATCTTAACTCAATCCTCTTGCGCAAGATCATCATGCATGTCGGTGACCAGTAATAATTCGAGTATTACACCGCATACGGAACACGCCTATACCACCTCCACCATTAATGTGAGTATGTGCAAAGATACCATCTAGGACTTAATATGTGCATTGACCAAAGCTGATTTTTCTGTTTCAACCATCAGTCTGAGCAAACTTGTCTTCATCCAGCCTCTCCAGCTGTAGTACTACAAAACCAGGATGTTTTTCGACCTTCAGAAGAGATTTCCTGCGGTGAGGTTCACAACGAGGAACCGGCTGATTCATCAGTTCTGCTTTCGTTTGTTGTTCCTCACTCATCTGACGAGAGGTCCAACCGCAATGCTGCAAGGTCCTCATCCCACGCAGTCCAACCTGGATTAATTTCTCCTCTCATTCTTCATGGCTCATCACTCACTCCAGACTCAAGATTCTCTGCTGATATACATACTTCGAATCACACTAAAGAATCCAGAACTCAACAACTTGGTCGCCTTCTCACTCCCGTAAAAATCTACACAACTCACTCACTGCTATACCACACTTCTGAGAGCTTGCCTCTCGGTACATCCATCCCTTCGCCACCAGATACAAGTCTCTCAATCGGCGGTCCATCGCTCTTTTCACCTTCTCCTACTGAAAGCTCTACCACTTTCAGCTTGCATAGTCATAACAGTGAATCAGACAGCGGTTATCTGATATCTTCGACCTATCCTAGCTCGATCGAATCTCACGATTCTCGCCATATGAAGAAGAGCCCGCGATCCTTTTTGCCTCATTCCGAATCATCTGCCTCCACCCCAAGTCCAAATTCCACAAAAAAACTTGCACCCTCAATGACAACTGGAATGTCGTACAATCAAGTTAATGAAGAAATGGACGAAGTGTTAGATTTTGATAATTTCCAAGTTCCGGAATGTTACAACGATTTTGTCTTTGCTGAAACCGATAACGTCGGCTCTGGTGTCGTCAAGAGAAGCATCTCACAATCAGACCGACGGCCGTGGACCCGCTCAAGGACATCTTTACAGCATGTCAAATCCCTTGATCTTGGTTGCCCGAGTAAAATCCCATCCCTCTTCGGTCTATCAAAGCTTAAATCACGAGAGGCACCACAGAAGATACCCATGTCGTCGAGAGATTCATTGGATTCTCAAGGGAAAAAATCAATCTTCTGCCGCGATCCTGTGGATCCTGTAGTCAAGAAACCGGTTCCTTCGAGATCAAGATCTTTACAACTCGTGAATAATGTTGACGTCTCACGTCAAAACGCGACTCAAAATGTTTATCCACAGTACGGAATGGAAACTGAGGATGATGACGAAGAAGAAGAACTTTCGCGTTGGTTTGATATTGCTGATGATGTGATTGCTCGATCTCATCAATCAATCTTGGAAAGAAATCGTGCCTTTGTACGAGATCTCAAGTTGCCTGAACTAGGTAATGGCCATACGCCCTCAAACAGCTCAAATGCCCCTGCATCTATCCGAGACTCATGTGAATCAGAAGGTTATGTCTATGGACCCACTACCTCAAATGTGCTCGAAGGATTTTCAAAGGAATCTCCTAAAGTTCGACTTCACTCACGAATCGGCTTCCGGCAAACGAATCGTAGCAAATCCTCCACTCATGGTCATAGTTCACCTGTCAACGAAAGCAAATCATCGAAAGCCCAGAATGCGATTAGTTCATTATATCAAAGCTTGAGATCGAAGAAGCAATCAACTCAAACAGCCAAGCCCTTTGGCTTAAGTCCCAATTCGATTCCTAGTGGCTCAGAATCATCTCACTATTCGACCTCCTCTTCATCCACATCTTCTCCCAGTCCCATCACTCATAGCCCTCATTCAATTTTGCTTGATCATGGAGATCGGTCTCAACCTCCAAAACGTTCAGTTAGTCAATCTAGAATTAGGTCTTCGAATAATTCCATTCGAGCTGGTTCGATTCACCAGGGTAGTGGCAATTCCTATACTCTTGAATCGAGCAAAAACTTACAGCATGCGTTGAATAACCCAAGGCATCATCCTAATCCTACCGATCCTTACTCTCATCTCATCCATCCTTGCCGTCCTAGCAAAAATCGTCATGCCTTTAAATATTCACAGTCATCCCTGGGTCTTGACTTGAACTGTTAAGACCCTGTTTTCCATGCTATTGATTATTTTTGTCACCTGCTCAGTATTGTTGTCCAATGTTCTACTCCGTGAGTCAAACTCAGCCTCGTATCACTCCACAATCTACAATTAACCAATCGTTCTGATTTTCAACAGTCTTACATCTTGCCCCTTTTTACGATATATCAGTCTGACTGCCTCACGAACCCAACGTCCAACAAAAATCATCTCCTCGATCTAATTTAATTTAGTTTGTTTTAATCTTATCCTAGCTTTCGACGGGGTGATTTTCATTCTCTTTTTATCTTTGTATGTTTGGGACGTCATTTTAGTTTCCCTTGGCTACCACTTCTTGTTTCTTCACACTTTTTTTGATCTTCTTTCTCTCTTTGGTCATACTTGTCAATTCATCTTTACTATACCTTCTTTGTTGTTTAATGTAAGATTAAATTATTAATCCTATCATTACTATCAATTCTGTATTTCAGTACAATAGGTTTTAATCTCTTTGGGCTTGTTATGTCTTACTATCTTTTGTTTTGCACGATTCTCATTTTCGTTGGTTTTCTTTGCTTTTGGTGATCAGCAGCTATGGTTTATTTGATGGTTTGTCAAGAGAAAATATCACTACAAGCAAAATGTAGTTTGAAATTCGCAGCTTTGATCGATCTATTTGAACTTCTTAGAGATTATGGTACACCTCATGACAAAGCCAGATGAAAATCATTCATCGTGTGAGACCATTGTATGCAACCTGTACCGTTGTAGTCCAAATGTTGTAAACATTTTGCATGGAATCCGGAACATTGCGATCCAATCAAGGTATCTTTGATCCAACTTTTGTGAGACGAGGCTTGCTACACATAAAAGTTAGGTTTTACTTATCAATGACTTTTGTTAAAAACAACATTTGGAAACGTTATACAATCAGTTTAACAATCATAGATCAGAGTTTCGAGTATGAGTGGTGAAGTATGACATTTGTATACCAAGTTACTCGAATGAAACTAATCATGTTAAAGGGCTTTGATAAATTCAAGGGCTTGATTAGGCTAGATGAAGCAGACAAGACGCCGTCAGAAAAGAGTTGATCAAGTTGAGGATGTTGGGGGATCTCTCAAGAGACCAGAAAGAAAAATAGACATACTCCATTTTTAGGAGAGGCAGGACTAGTGATGTTAAGAAGCTCGCCACCTGGAGCGAGGATATAGTGCGATCTTTGAACTTGTGTAGAAGATTTAGAAGCACCCAAGATCTTGATTAATCGTTGCTATTGAGATAAAAAGGCATCAGCTTTGATATAAATCACAAAGAAGAGATTATAGGTGTTTTGAACGTACTTTAGGATCGCAAAGAAGGTGGTAGGGTAATTTTTGCTACAAGAGTTACAATTCCATTCATATAGTCAGGAAATGCGAGAAAGAGGCTACAGGGAAAAGGAAAGAAGTGAAATAATTTTCAGACGAAACTTTTTCTTTCCAACTCTTTTGAGATTTAGGACTATCCATACTAAGACCGAAAACCTTTTCAAAGCAAATTGAAAGATAAGGTTAAATTAGTTCTTGGGATTTTTCAGAGTAATAGGAAGAGATAGAAAGAAAAGAGAAATTGAACACAAACTTGATAGCCTGTATCCAGAATTTCTTGATGAAGGTCTCTGAATCCACAAGCTTGATTGGTACAGCCTGGTGTATTGGCCTGAAGACAAACAACAAAGCTAGGAATGTCAACGCATATAGCAGACATTTTTTAAGAATGGGGTAGGTGTGCTCACTTTGGGGTATATGAATATAATAGCTCTGCATTAATTAGAAATAGATCATAAGACAAACATTAGCTCGTGACAAGAAACCTTCAAGTGTGACATATCTAAAGTCAATCTCGTACCCTTTCTCTTTGATAGCTTCGAGAAGATTAACGTCTTCATCTTCTTGATTTTTCAAAACGATCTCCTCACTCAATTTATCGCCCACTTTCAATTTGACAATCGAGTTTGAAGATTCAGATTTGATTTCCGATGGTTTTTCTAATTTGGCTTTCTTTTGAACTGGTACGTTTTCTATTTCTTTTTCATCATCTTCTACTGAAGTAAGAGCTGAGACTGAACCTGTATCTTCTTCAGTAGTAGATTTACTTTTCGTAGTTGATTTGGAAGTTGAGCTTTTGCTGTTTTCTTTACTGGATTGCTTGGGACTCGGAATCCGTGAGCTAGAGAATGAGTTCGGTTTAGAAGTCACACGTGATGAACGTCTAGGTTGAGACAAATTTTCTGGATCTAATTCGTTGGTGGAGGTGCGCTTTTTAGGCATACTTGAGGACGAAGGTTAGCGAAAGAATCCGCGAGGTTTGGATGTTGAGCAAATATGATAAAGAGGTTGTATTAGGGTGATATATATGCGGTAGATATATATATATATCTTTTAAAAAATGTAGGAACTCGAAGATGGGTTCAAGAGGTGGAGGAAAGACGAGAAGCAAAGGAACAAAGCTACTTTAAACTAATCAGGAGGATGAGTTCAAGGGTGGTGGGAGAAAAAAGTTAGCTAAGAAGAGAGGGGTGAGAAGTGAGTCTTGTGACAAGAAAAAAAAATTAGTCAAGTTATAGCTAAGTAACGCATATGACTGTACATAGCTAAAATATTACGTGGGTATTCTATTGATAAGTACAGATATGATATCCTCTTGAGTTTGGTTGACAGTTCATGCAGCTGATTGGTGACTTGATGAGGTTTTGTTTTGTCTCAGATTTGAACTGCAGAGTGATGAGGATGAGGATGACAACAAGTTACTTACACAATTCCAAGGTAGATGTTGCCATTTTAGCTTGACATTTCCTTTTAAACATCAAGTTGACTTCCGTGCCACACCGAAACCATCTCCTTTGGTCTTCGAAAAGGAGCCGCAGCATGTGGCCCGTCATCGGAAAGACCACAGATCACGCATACATTTGGTAGTCAGGACCCTGGTATGTGGAGCTTGCATAGACAAACTTTCAAGAATGATAATACTGGGGAGTTCAAAGATTTAAATCAATTCATCACATTCCAGTTTCATAGATTTCTAACAAGAATGTAAAAGATCTATCAAAGACCCCCCATTCTTACAAACAAACATGACTTTATGCACCCCTCAGAGAAATCTATTCAGCATAATGCCTTTTCAACTTCTTGCATGTTTCACTTATCCTTGCTCTGGAACATCCTTTCAAAAAGGTTACTATCATGATTTGATAAGATCCTGCTTCACTTATTACATCATTTTGATATGAGCACCTCTCAAGCAGGTAGATCTGGATGGGGTTGGTCAGAGAGCAACAAGTTTGTGGCAAAGTAATGCAGTAGGAACAGTATACGTGTTCTAGATGATTTCCTTCATCAAAGGGTGGAACAAGCTCAGTGTGGACATTGACTTCTGGAAATGATAGAAGATGATAGATTGGGAAGTGGTTGAAAGGATCAAGAGACCTGTGTAGAAACACTTCAAGTTCAACAATGTTTCTCCTGAGGCTCTTCTTAATCAAAGGCTTGTTTAGTATCTGCCAGACAAATTCATCAATTCAACAATGTTCTTGATACATGAACCTCCTTTTGTCTTAATCAATGCACCTCCAATCCCTTCTTTCTCCTGGCACTTCAATTTGACCTTCTTACAGGTGATGTCTGTCACACAGTCCCATGCAAAAAGATAAGACAGGTGGCCCAGAACAGAGCAGAATCTTGCAGTTTCAACTGGAGTTGTATCTTTGCAACTATGGATCCAGGAATTCTCTGAGGAAAAAGCAGATCTCATTTTTATTTGAATTCTTAATCTCTCCAGATCCTTAATCTTTTCATTATGGATGGGCTTTGTCCAGAACCATAAGCAGCAAACCTCTGCTGGATTGAATACATACCTTACAAACTTGAACCTTTCACCCAGATATCTCAGGAGTGATTCTATGTAGCTTTATCCAAAAAATGTTTTATAATACTCAGGCGGAGATGGTCACATTTGGAGAGAGCCAAATGCAGTGCCCCCAATGGCTCTTGCCTTTGGTTGTGCTGACATCCACTCAGATTGAACAAATGTTAACTTGCAGTAGATGATCATATGGCAGAGATTTTATTGATGTGATCACCTGGTAAATCCAGCATCAAATGATTGGAAACAAAGCTCAACATGTAGCATGAAGTAAATCCAAGTAGCCTAGCCAATGCTTCTGCATATGACTTGACTATTTGATCCCCCTAGGATGTGTGTTGCCCTAGGGAATACTTTACCTATGTGTTGTTGGATGATAAGAATAAAGTTGTTCTTCACGTTGTTATTTCTCTCAGTGTGGTGTAGTGTGATCTTTCTTTTCTGTTGTTGCTCATCTCAAATATTTATTATTTCATTCTCTCTTATTTGATATGTTTGCACGGTTACAGTTTTCTTTATTCCAGCCTATGTTTCTCTTAACTCTTAGCTGTATGTTTGTTCTTCCTATAAAGAGCTTTCCATTAGTCTGTGGAGTTTTGATCTTCATCTTTTTCAAACTCCTCATCTTTATACACTACAAGCAAAACTTAACTTACGACATATTTTGCTTTTGTGTGAATGGCTCATAGGTAAGCTATTTAGTTCTCTTTGTCGTGTTATTCTTTTTCTCTTTATTATCTTACTATTTGTACATGTTGTTGCTGTTTGTTATGTTGCGTAATAAACATCTCTTTCAAACTCCTCATCTTTATACACTACAAGCAAAACTTAACTTGCAACATATTTTGCTTTTGTGTGAATGAATCATACATGTCTGTGTAGGGTTTGCTTGTTGACGCACACCAACAGGCACCGACTCCCTTTGAGGAAGACAGGGAAGTTGTGCACGCTTGTTGACGAGCAAACACTACCTGGACACAGTGTATAGTGTTGAACAAAGCTGGCTCAGCATCAGCAACGCAGCCACGATACTGTACTTGGTAAAGTACCTGCAATACTAGTACAGTACCTAGGTTTAAGATACTGGGAAAAGTGGTACTCAGTACCGTACCTGAAATTAGGTACTGTACTGAGTACAGTACCTAAGATCAAGGTACTGTAAATTTCCTCCTCCAGTACAGTACTGTCCACCATTGGAAGGTACTGTACGGTACCAGTATCCTGGGGTCACACATAGGTACAGTACTATACTGTACCTTGCGTAAGTACTATACAGTATTGCACGGTACCTGCAGAAGTACCTGCAAGTTTGAGAGGAAAACAGCAATGTTTACAGGTAAAATATATGTATTACTGAAGGAAAGTAGAAAAAAGAAACAACCAGACAAGAGACATATTATTCAAGATGAATATAATGAATTAAAGCAAAAAATCACAATATAAATTGATACATCAAAAAGGGATGGAATTGGTGAGGACAGTGTACTGGACTACTGAGAATAAACCAAGGAAAGATGGAGAGGGGGTTGAAGCAGGTACTTAGCGGTACTTTACCGGGTATAGTACCTAAAACCTGGATACTGGCAATCCCAGTACCGTTATCGTACCTCAATGTGAGGTACTGTACCCAGTACAGTACCTCAAAAAAATACTGGATTTCCAGGCCAGTAGTCAAGTACCGTTCTATCAGGTACTGTACTCCTAGGTACTGTACTGGCAAAAACAGGTACTGTACTGTACTATACCGGTACTAGTACAGTATTGTGGCTGTGTTGGCATCAGTGCAGAATGTCTGCAGAAGCTGAGTCTCTTCATAATCACCATTAAATACTACTGAGTTTAATTGTTCCATAGCCCAAACATAGTGATCTGAAAATCCCACTGTGCATAAAACAAAGGGCAACTGTAAAGGATTTGTGTGTGTTGGTCATTCCAAAGATGTGAAGAAGAGGGACATTAAAGTGGTTTGTCTTATACATGCAATTAACTCATTTGACAGTGGGGGAAAGGTGGGACAAGTCAATGCCTTCAGGGCTTTCCATGAACAGAGACTGGGGGGTTCCATCAATGGAAGTTGTGGTGCAAAAAGCCCACTTCTGTTTGGTTATCAGGATGAAGAATGCTTGAATTTGTGTGTGGCTGCAGAACCACTCATCTCTTTGACAATAGATAGTGTGGTGTATTTCTCTCACAAGGGGTTCAGCTCCAGGTGCAAACTCAATGAGGGCTCAGATTTGGACCACAGTCCATGCAGCGGAGGATAGGAGGGTAATCTGATGTAAGAAATTGTCAGGGAGTGGTTGTTTTGTTGAGAGATGGTCAGGTTGGTCACATGGGGGGTGGTGGTGTTAGTGCTTTGCTGGGGCTTTCAAGTCTTGCTTCATAATCCATTGATCCAGGCTTGCAAGATAGTTGTGGGAAATTTCATATGGGCATTCAGTTATCTTGGTTGAGCTAGTTTGAAACTTGGCCACTGACTCAATGGCCCTGCCAAGTGAGCACTTCAATTAGATCTGGACTTTTTGGTGGTTTTCAGTATTGTGACTCTTTGTTGCAATTCCATAGACTTGATGCCAGGTTACCACATTGAGATACATAAGCCCAGTGATAATTGCTACAAACTGTTTGCCAAAGACAAGACATCTTGCAAGGCAAACAGTTTTGGCTCCTAAGCAAAAAGATAAACATTATTGCCAGAGGCAATTCAGGAGAGGAATCAAGTTGAGATCAAAAACCATAAACATCCCAATAGGAGGCCAATGTTTGTCTTCCTTGGCTTGAAGATCAAGTAACTCATCTTTTTACATAGATTCTTCTCCTATGTCTTGACTGTCAGGCATGGCTTGAGCTTGTTTAATTACAGGAGTATCATTGATTGTGTGATCTGATGCATTGGCCAGTGTAAGATTGAGCGGGATTTGGTGAAGACTTATTTCAACCCTGTGCCAGAAACGCAACACACCACAGCACACCTGTTTTTTGATGCATTGCTCTGAAACACACAACACCAACAAGCAGTGGATGCTGCATTGCAGGAAGTACCACAACAACAAAAGTCAAGGCTAGGATGTGCAGTGCCTTGACTGTTGTGCAACGCACACCAAAAAACATTGTTGCAGCCCAAAAAACCCACCAATCCAAGTGATCTTGTTGCACTGTGGGTCAGGCTGCAACCTAGAAATTAATTCTACAGTGCTGTCAGAAAAACCGCAACGCAACCGCAGCGCAGCATGCATCATCTGTGTTGCTGGCCCAGGGTTGCTTATATTTGAAACATAGTGGAATAGGAAGGCTTTGTATTGATTATATTCAAAGTAGCTGATTCTGGACTGAGCCATGCTCTGATTGTGTTTGAAGTATTTGATTGTGAACTGTTAATTATCTTCAACGTAGTCTTTGATGTGGTGGATGTTGTACTGGTAGCTACTTTTCTAGTGGATGGTGCCAAGAGGTGAAGTGTGTTTGCGCTGGGGGAACATGGAGGAAGAGATGGCAGATGATGTTGAAAGACAATCAAGACAGAATTTGTTATGTCTATCGGTGAGAATAAGTTATAGGAGTTTAGTAGTTTTCTATTTAAATCTCATCTAAGATCAGAATGGTGTAGTAGTGTAATGTTCATCTTTCCCAACAAATGTTAAAGAACATTGATCCCAATGTGTATTGTGAAATGTTTTGTTAGTTATATAGATGTCTCTCGTTTTCACTTTACTCTCTTTCCTTATCTGTTGGAAAGAGAGTAAGTACCTCACCACCTTTGTCGCGCTTAGTGTTTTTCTTCACTGATGTATTGTTCATTTCAGAATCCAATAGATCATCTTTACTATAAGCTTTACAAGCTTCTAATCACTTCTCATATCTTTTTCATTTCCTCCGTAAAACTTAGGTATATCATCATCTTACTTTACATCTGATTATTCTTGATTATGTTGTTCATCTTTTATTTTTCTCTTATGTTTAAGTTAGTTTTCCCAGGTCTGCATACCTGTTGTGTTGGAGAAGAGTGCCTAACGTAAAGCACTGATTTGATAGGTTCACCGTCATCTCAGCCATTTACAGATGATATCCATCAGTCATTGTATGATAAGGATACAGTGGATAGTTAGGTGATGGCTGAGACAGATAAGGAGGTATTGGTAGTTGAATTCTGGTTGAAGACATGTGATTCCATCTTCAGTAGACATGTTGGGTTGGTATGCAAAAGGGGGGGCAGTAGTCAGAAGGGGGATACATATAAGCCAATTGACACCATGGGAATCAATGGGTTCAAAACCCCATTGAAGGAAGTTTCAGTGAAAGGGTCCACAAATGTCTCTGATTGCAAATTGTGCTTGCGATTGGTTCACATTTAGTTCACTGGATACTGTATTTCATCAGACCAGAAGCTATCTGTCACATGAAACCACACGTCAAAGCTTTCAGGCTTTCATCCTCAATCCACATGTTGATTCTAACCAATCTACCCTCTATTTTTTTCACAAAATAGTCTAGCTGTTGATTTACCAACAAGTTGAGCTTCCTTTGGCTAAGGGAGCCACTTGCAACCATGTTGGATGAACTTTTCTGGTACAACATCACTTGAGAAGCCCTTCCATACCATAACTGTAGTTTCAACAGCACCGTTTTTCAAACATTTGGCTGTGATAGGCTGTGATGGTATTGTGGGTTTTGGGTTTGATACATTTATGGGATACAAAGTAAATGAATTCCCGTTTTCCCCCATTTTTTGGATTTAGAGTTAGTTTGGGGAAACTGGGCAAACTAATTCTACAGGCAAAAAAAGTGGGAAAACCTGGATTTGATTCCAGGTTTCTACTTTGTATCCCACAATTTTCTGATACATAAACCAGAAGATCAGGCAAGGCTCAAGAAGTGCTTGCAAAGGGTGTACAGCAAACTAATTGTGAACCAATTGTGAACACAATTCACAATTGGAGAAAGTTGCGGACCCTGTCACCACAACTCTTGTCAATCAGGTTTCAAAACCATTGATTCCCATGGTGTGAAAGTATGGATTGTAGGGATTTCTAGGTGGTAAAGGTACGGAGGAAGCATGAGTATTTGCCGGTTTTGACATCCATCCTGGGGAACATTGGTCATTTTTGACCGCCTTAAGAGGATGATTATTGACAAGACCAACTACACTTATTCAATTTCCAGATGTAAGACGGACAATTGTTAAAAAAGAAATGGCTGTGCATAGAGGGATGGGTATCAGTCAATGCTTTTTCTTGCAGTGTAAGGAAGTGAAGGACCAAAGGTAGAGATGAAGGCAACAAGAACTTACCATTTTGGGATGAGGCCTATTGGATGGTTTGAGGCTTGTCCAGTTTGGGATGTCTACTTTTTGACTTTGAGATGAGGGTGAGTGTCAGGAAAAAAATAGCAAAGAGTAGCTCACAGCTCAGTGTGAGCCTATTGGATGATAATCAGGCTGTTAGCTGACATTACACCCATAAATCCCATAAATAACTGTGTCTGTGGCAAAATTTGGCTGGGGTGGGTCTGGATGTGTAGGGAACATGCAGGTAAGGCCCCCCAAAAAACAGGCTTTGATGTTTTCAAAGCGGGTGCCAGATAGTGCTCTTCACAAATTCTCAAGCATGGAAAACAAAGGCAAGAATATGAATTGCCACTATCCAAGGTGAGATCTTCCATGTCCCAGTGTAGCATTACTTTTATGACTTGAAACTTACGGCTCAATACAAATTGATGCACTTGGGCGGCTTGTTACTATTTTCAACATCATTTTTTGTCAATTCATCTCTGCCAACACTTTCAAAAAAAACAGGATCTTTTGGGACATTAGCTGTTCAGTTTCAAACTGACTTAAAGGCTTCTGATCAAAGAGATGTTCAATTGATGTTCAATTGATTGTTCAAGGAGGTGAAACAGCTGGTTGAGTACATTGCAATTCTACAAGGTAGTTGTCCAGATAGTTTTTAGTAGTCATTATCCTTGGATGATGGAGCCAATCTGAACAACCGTATCTTGTCAAATACTGCCCCCAGACAGAGACTCCTTAAACAATTAGGGGACACAAAGTAGAATCTGCTCCCATGCCCAACCTTGCACCCAGAATTCTTATGGCTGTAAATTTGTATGTACCATGGCCGGGGTTTTGCCCAGAAAATCCATCTTTACAGCCAAAATAATTTTGGGCACAAGGGCGTGTGCCCGGATCCTACTTTGCAAATATCCGGTAAACGGCTCAAGGCCCGGTCCCATCTTACTTAATGTGTCATATGTGGCCGGGGTACTGCTGGTACTGGTCGACACCGATAGCCCCGACCTGCGGCAAAGTGGGGCACTGTAAGATGGGGTTTGATGAAAGTCGATGAACTTCCAATGATCCAATTCTTCACAGTCACATTCACATCATCACCAACTCACTAATCAAGGTCAAACATCCTCATCAAGAATCCAAACACTTCATCATCAACTGATATCAAGAATAAACCATCATCAACTCATACTCAAATCTCGTCTTCAACAATAGAGCATGGAGTCTTATACACCAGATTGGTCATCTCCCGAACCACCCATTGCTAAAGGATCCTCTCTAAACTCGATCGGTTACACTGTCGAATCGGATGATTACGATTATGACTTCCCAACTCCTACCGTCAAACATCCTTCTGTACTGAATTTCAATCAAGATCGAGTCGATGATACCTCATCCATGGCCAATGAATTCGGGTCTCATCACCTTCAAAATGGTGCTCATCAGTCCTCTTCACTACTCATACCCGATGGCGTGGTGCTTACCAACACTTCTTCAGCCTTCAATTCACTTCACCTTCGTTTATCGAGATCATTAGCTGAAATTTGAACTGTTATCTCTCCTCATTCAATTATAGGAACATCTCACTTTGATTCACAAGACTTTTCTGGTGCATCAATCCCTGGCCAATACTTTGGGAATGGGTTCGACTCTACATCTGATAGCCTTGCCTATCAGCAACATTTCGCGCCGCCAATAGATCCACTGGCCTTGAACTTTCCAAGTGAACCCTTTCAGTCCTTGTCCCTCAACGAAAGTCGACAATTCGAGTCCATCTCTCTCTCAGCTGCTTCGGGGGCCCCTTCTACCTCTGCAGCAAGTGAAGTCAACTCATACCCCAATGGCCGCTCGACCAGATCTTCTACCCGAAGCGATTCCGCTGATTCGAAACTCACCCAATCCACTCGGACGACCGAGGCCGTTCCTGAGGGCCTCAGCGACACTCAAGTTTCAACACCATCCCCAGCCAAAAAGACTAGCCCAGCTTTGTCTTCACCACTGCCGAAGAACAAGCACACGAATGGCGAAGCAAATCCAGTGAATCATAACTCCTCTGGCAACTTGCCTTCCACGTCGCCAGAGCCTTCCAGCAGCAAGGCCCCCCCTGTGGATCAACCGCCGTCGCAAACCCGAGATCAACAATCCACGTCAGCCACATCTACAATGACAGCTCCACCTCAACCTGCTAACAAGACCAAAGCTGGCAAGAAGGCAGTCGCAGCAATTCAAGGAGGCGGTGGACTGGGTGCGAAGGGCAAGAAAGCCAATATGTTACAGAAAGTGATCAGTCGGACACGGCCAAGGGATCTTCCACCTAAGCCACAGGACGAAGATGTGAGTTTGAGTGCTTGATCGGACCTGACGAGGGGGAAGCACTCTGACTCCATGCTCACCTATAGAAACGACATCTTCGAGAATTCAATGAAATGATGGCAATCAGTGTTGAGATGCGTACGTGCTTCTTATTTCTTGCCACATACATCTCAGGCTATTTTGAATGTCTAAGTTTCTTTTGTCTTGCACCACCTGCAGAGAAGCGAAGATCGACTTTAGCTCACGAACGGAGGTTAGCTCGAGAACATTTGATCGCCAGTTACCAGCCTACATGGGAGAAGGACGTATTACCTAATTGGAAAAGTACGCTTTCAAATTTGTCAGATGTGGATGTTATACCCCTTTTCCAACACAGCTTTATCTTTCTGGTCAGGTGTCATGAAAGATGATGCTCAAGGCAAGTCCTTGCGTGATATGTGGTGGTTGGGCACCATGCCACCTCGTCATCGGGGCCGCCTGTGGCATCAGTGCATTGGCAATGCCGGTGCCGTCGGGAGGTGTGAGTTAGCTTCTATATGCTCCTTATCTGACAGTTAGTCCTTGACATCCAAATCTGATAATTCTCTATCTGTTATTGGACCGTAGCCGCATTTCTCAAATCCGTCGCCCTCGCCAAGTCACTCATGAACTCTAATCCGCCACGGTTTCCAGCCGAAGTGATCGAAGCCATTGATGCCGATCTTGCCCTCACATTACCAAAACTAAAGCTCTTTCAAGTCGGACGACCGATGCATAATGACCTGCGGCAAATTTTACTTGCTTGGGCTGTGTTTTGGCGCGAGCGACCATTTTACCCCAAAGGATCTTCCTTTCTCGCCGCCCTATTTTTGATCAATATGCAACCCCAGGACGCATTTCTCTCACTCGTCAACATCTCACGAAAATCATGCCTTTCGTATTTTTACAATAACAAACAAGCAGAGATCGAGTCATTTTATCGGATCTTTGACACCCTTCTCGCAGAAGCAATGCCGAAAGTTTTTCGAAACTTTCAAGAACGTCGGATCCGACCTTCCCTTTATCTCAAACCTTGGATTACCACTGTTTATATTGCATTTCTACCCGTCGAGTTAGCCACTAGGATAATGGACGTCTTTGTACTTGAAGGAGACTCTTTTCTTTTCCGAGTTGGTCTTGCGCTACTTCAAACACTTGAAGCCAGGCTTTTCAATCCTGACGCTGATGAACTGACAGCAGTCTTCACGGGTGAAGATAGAGGAGCCAGATCGATTGTGATTAGGAATACTTTGGCGATTTATGGTGAAAGATCAAGTTCGGATGTGACACCTGATGAAGCCTATGAAGAAATGGGGTGTGTGGAGGAGACTGTGTTTGGAAAATTGTTGGCACAGAATTGGAATGAAGCACTTTGGGAACGTCTTGTGTCACGAGAATTACCAGATTGATAGATTATTTCTTACTTGTTGGGTTAGTGAAGTGTGTTATATGTGTCGATCTAATGCTGTTGTACATATACGTAAATATCCTTCATTGTCAATCAATTGCTTTCTTAGACATTGCGAAGGTTGAGATGCATTATGTTCAGCCGGTTTGACGCCCGCAAGAGAAATCGTGGGTCCCTCATAAACCTCTATGAAACCCTGAGGTCCTCGTTCAAAAATTCACAACATTTTCAACCATGCACATTTCCTCTACATACGCATGGCGCATGTAGTCTTTGATCATCACAGCCAAATTGAAATAGCGAGCATTTTTGAACGTAATATATAAGTTCACTCAGTCAGATTCATACGGAAGCCGTGACGTGAAGTGACCGCCACCGTTTTTTCAAAACTTCGGTTTTCGGTTTTCGGTTTTCGGTTTTTGGAATTTGGGCATGTCCTTCAATTTTTGATACACACCACGGGCTACCATCACCGAGAACACCAACTGACACCATCACCACCACCAAGGGTTTATTCCACACTCGTATTTTCACTCAGCACCCACCACCGAGCATTTTTTCCACATCTGTCTTTTCACCACCAGCTAGCTATGTACGAACATCACCACCCACCACCGAGCTATCTTTTCACACTTGTCTTTTCACCAATCTAGCTATCACCACCACCACCCAGCTTGAGTATCTTTTATCAAAGTCCAGACTCCCAGCTTGAGTATCTTTAATCAAAGTCCAGACTGGTTTCAATTATCACTCACTCAATCAACTTGGTATCATTTACAGTCAATAAACTTGTAATCAACTTGGTATCATTCACAGTCAATAAACTTGTAATCAACTTGGTATCATTTACAGTCACAAATCACCTTACCCCTCAATCAATCAACAACCTTTCTGATCAAAGAAACTGTTGGTTTTCCAAATAGGTTGAATTTTGAGGAGGTGATTGTCAAGATCAACCTCAATTGTTTGAGAACTCAGAATAATCAAAAATACTTGGCATACATTTTTTAAAACAGCCTCATGATTGAAATGTTGTAAGTTGTGTAAAACAATCAATAAGTAAGTGATACAAACTCTGTGAAATGATCAGGTTCCAGATTGTAATCACCATGATTTGTGATTATACTCTTTGCAATTCGAAGATACTTATGTAAATTTTTTGTTCAGATGAGGGCCAGCCAATTCAGCATTTTGATGTGTAGTTAGTGTAAGAATTAATGGATTGATAAGAAGTTAAAGAAGAAACTTCAAAGGTGAACACAATGAGTGTTGAGATAAGAGCTTTCAGAGTTAGTTGTGATGTGTAGTAGGATCGAGTGGATCAATTTTTTGTTGAGATAAGAGCAAGCCGATGGAGCTTTTTGATGCAATGGGTAGTTTAAACATTAGTGGTTCGATATGAAGTTGACAAAGAAATTTAAAAGGTTAACACAACAGGTGTTGAGATAAGAGCTCGCCAATTCGACTGTGATGTGTAGTAGGATCTATTAGTTTAATTTGAACTACAATACTTTGGTATTGATTGATACGATTGAAGTTGATAAGATTTGAGATGTGGTTTGATTGAGTCAAAGTCTGGATATTTGAAGGCACAAGAGTTGAATCGGTCGAGCAGTTTGACCGACTCACTGTAAATTGAGAGGGAGGCATGGTTGCTTTTCAAAAAAATTGAAGGAAATGCCCAAATTCCAAAAACCGAAAACCGAAAACCGAAAACCGAAGTTTTGAAAAAACGGTGGCGGTCACTTCACGTCACGGCTTCCGTAGCTACAGGAGTTTCCTGGCTACCCCCTCCTGCGAGCATCCCACGACATCACCTCGGAGTCAGGCGGAGAACACTATGTAGGAAGAGAAATCATTGTTGAAATCACTTTCATCTCAAAGTTATGTTTTCAGAGTCCCAAGGGCAGCGCAGATGCAGACTTTATCTCGGAAAGATATACCCGAAAAAGCAAGCCGGATCATGTGATTCAGGGCCGGGTGGACGCATACATCGGGGTTGAGATCAGTGTGTAATTGATCGATAATTTCTTGGGTCAAGATCTAGTCCACGATCATGGATCAATCTGCTCAGCCATCACTACCGACGCGATCTTTCAAACTTCTTGCATTGCATGAGTATCGCTTTGAACTCGACCCAGCAGAGTCAATCTCTATTCGACTGGTACAAGGAACCGCTGAACTATTTGGATTCGAACTCGCTGTCGGTCACGATTATCCATTTGGTGATGAAGCTCGTGCAGCAATCTTCAGTTGGCATGGGGCTGATCTCGAGATGAGTCTCTCTTCCTCTGTCTTGAATGATCATCTCTGGTGAATGAATTTGGATTGATGTTCTCGCTTATACGTCACAGGCAAAGTTTCTACTGAATACATTGCAGAAGAGACCCCAGTACCAACTCATCTAGCTCTCCACCTCGCGCTGGAGCGGATGAGACTGGCGGCCGTTGCTCCTAAACATTTCGTACCACGCGTTGAATTGCCGCCATCACTTCGAACACTTGAAGAATTGAATGAAGATGGTGATGATGAGCGCCTTGGACCTCGTGTTATGGTCGTTGGTGGACTTTCGAGCGGCAAGTCCACCCTTGTCAAGACCCTCGCCAACCTAGCCATCCGTAGTGGTCGAACCAAAGTTGAAGGGCCAGGGCTTCTGCTTGTGAATCTGTGTTGTAGTGATGTACGCAATGCTAGCTTTTGTTTGGATGGACCATGATCCTGATTCGCGGTTTTGTAACTTCAAATGTCTTCAGGGAGCCTTCACCCTTCCCGGGACATTTTCGATAGCTCCTCTTTACGCGTCCATTCCTACCACCACCTCTGTACATCCATTCGGATCCACACCGACAACTGGTCTACCTGTTCTCTTCACACCTGCAAATCCTTTCGATGCTCCTCTTCACCCGACTCCCAACCCAGCGCTCTTCGCACCTCCTCTCAATGCATTATCATTCTATTACGGTCATGCCGATTTCGGAAGAAATCTTGGCCTAGTAGACGCTTTGTTTAGAAGAATGGGTTCTGCATTGGATGCTCGGATCGAGAAGGGGGCTGAGACAGCGGCTTGGACTGGAGGATTGATTGTGGATACACCTGGTGAATTCTGTGATAAGAATCGAGGGGCGATTGTGAAAGAGGCCGTACGCTCTTTTGGAAGTCAGTGTCTCATCAGTCCCTTTTCTTCCCTCCTACTCTTGATCAGTCTCAGATCCTTCTGACCCCTGGCACGCGATGAAATATACTTACAATCCTGTCAAACATAGTCAACGTGATTGTTGTGATGGGCACTGAAAAACTGCAATTAGAGATGTCCAAACTGATGTCCACAAACAAGACTGTCCGGGTTGTTAGAGTGCCAAAGAGTAGTGGGGTTAAGTATCACTCTTGCCAACTCTTATGCTCTCCGTGCAGGTATTTGACTGATAGTTTATTTAACACCACTTTTGCACACAGGCATCAGAGTTTGATCTCCTCTATCAGCGTCGTCTTCAATCTAGTCAAATTCGATCTTACTTCTACGGCGGTCCGGCTTTGTCTCAGGGCCAGCTGTCGCCATTTACGATTGTAGTAAAGTTTGAAGATTTAATGATATATCGTGTAGGCGAAGGTAAGGAGACAGTATTGACGACATAGCATTTTGATTGACTTTTTCCAAATCACTCATCACTCATCTCTGCACTTCACACATCTGATCGCTCTTCTTTGTGAATGTGAACGGATTCTTGATGTGATCCACTCGACACAACTATGGAATCGGGACTGATGTTGTAGACGCACTGGTTCCATCTTCGGCGCTTCCGATTGGAGCCATTCGAACTTTGAAATCAACTAGTCTCTTGAGGATTGATCCAGATGAGCCACGTACAGGTTCATTACTTCATATGGTCCTTGCTATTCCACAATCAGAATGGGATGGGATTGATCCTGAAACAGATGAAGCTACAGAAGCAGCTACTGGTCCTGTACTTGGATTTGTTCATTTGTGGGTGATTTTTCTCTCTCAAACTTATGTAGAAATCAGTGAATGTTAAGGAGGTGTTTGTTTTTTTCGGCACGAGGATTTAGGGCAGGAATGGATTTGGTTAAAAGAAAGTATACGATCTTGTCACCTTTACCGGGTCGATTACCACGGAAAGCTGCGATTGCTGGATCATTGGAATGGACTGATAGTTGATGAAGATACCAGATGGATTGAAATGTTGGCATATTTACATATATATTTTTGTACTTATTTATAGCGTATATATATATTGATATATCTCTACTTATTGATTGAGATGAAAACTTGCGAGTGGGGTTGTTTACTTATTTATTTTACATCTCTGAAATTTGGCGTGTCTGGAGTTTTAAGGGAATATGTTCATTGTGTTATCTGAATTGATTAGGAGTATGTTCTGGGTTTATAGAATCCAAACGGAACGCAAATTCCAACCAAGGATTTCAACAAGTGAAAGTGAAAAAAACAAGGTGATTGGGTTTTCAGTGAACCGCTTTGAGGTCCATTTGGATTTATCGGAATCTGGCACAGAGTGAAACTTGACGTGAAAAATAAGGAAAAATCCATACAGGTTGTTTTAGGTTACAGACCTGAGTGTATGCGGGAAGCAGGTTAAATTTTAGATTTTGAGAAAACCCAAACCATTCATTACCAAAAGATGAGCGAAGCTCAAGAATCACCCATCAAAGGACCCACACCTAAACGAGCTCATTCGGAAAACATCACAGCAGACGAATTATGGAAAACTCAAGGATGGGATCAAACCCCATTATTTATGAAAGAAATTCCGAAAGAAGTGACGAATGAAGGACCGATTGAAGCTTTACAATCATTAATTTATGATATTGAATCGATTGAAGAATCAGTGAATTCATTAAAACAGAGAGCCAATGAATTATTTAAATCAAAAGATTATAGACAAGCTTTAGGGTTTTATGTTCAAGCTATTGAATTGATTGAGTCTTGTAGGAAATCCAAAACGAAGGAGTATGAGGAGAATCAGGAGTGGCTTGAGATGATTTGTAAAACACTTATTTCGAATCGAGCAGCTTGTCATCTTTCACTTGGTAAGTGAATTAGTTCATCTCTCATTGATTGGTTGATTGGTTGATTGGTTTATTGATTGGTTTTCTGGAACGCTTGGTAGGTAATTATCGTTCATGTATAAATGATTGTGAAGTGGTCACACAAGCTCCATTACCAAGTCCGATTCCATCATTCATTCGTAAAGCTTTCTTTAGGAATGCTAAAGCTAAAATCGCACTAAATCAATTTGAGGATGCATTGATACCACTTCAGAGGATGATTGAAATAGATCAAGAGGCCAAGAATGTTGAGGATATGGAATTCGGCAAGTTGGTTAAAGAAATACAAAGGTGTATACAAGAACGTGAAGAGGTTTCTAGAAGAAAATTAGAAGAAGCGCATAGGAAGATGGTGGAGGAGAAAAGATTAAGGACAGCATTACAGGTAAGATAACAAGATTTGATGAAGAAAGGATTTGGAAAGCCGATTACTGATATAAGATGAATTGATTAGGAACGAGGGATAATTTTATCTCAAAAGATTCGATTCCCACCATTACCAAGCAGTTTACCAGCAGGACTCGAGCCGGCACATTTTGAAACGGATGAAATTGATTCATCAATAGTTTATCCAGTATATGTTTTCCGGCCGAAAGACTCACCGCCAAGAAGAGATTTAATTTTGAGATGGAATGAAGAAGATGAATTTATTGATCATCTTTTAGAACTTACCGAAGGATGTTCCGAAGACGCAAATGATTATCAATTTTATATTGTGACGATTAAAGGTAGGATTTTAAAGTGTGGGAATCGATTGAGTTTGAAGAGTGTGATTCGAATGGGATTTAAGAAAGAGAATGGGGATGGGATCGGGTTGGGTGATCAGGGTCATTTGGAATTGGTTTTGGTTTTGAAAGGGAGTCAGGATGAAAAGGATTGGATTCAGGAAATCAAATCTAATTTTTCATCAGCTTCTTAAAAAATAGAAATGTCTATACATCAGATTTCTTTGCAACTTGTTATGATAAGTTTCTTGATGCCAAGTTGATTATCCTTGATTTGAGTAAGGTGTGAGACTGAGTTTGTGATTCCCGATTGAGAAAGAAAGTTTTGAATGAATGAATGAATGATTACATAATCTAGAACTGATTCAGTTTAACTTTCACTTTGAATGGTTCAGCTGTTCAGTCATTTAGAATCTGTCAATCGGTTTATGTGCTTCGTCACTTCTTTTCTTTTCTTTCAATCACACTCTTGGGATTGACTCTTCATGCTCAGTGTCATCCACTCAGAACCCATCCACCATTTAATTTGTACATTCTCCTAAACTTCTTTACCAGTTTACTCATCAGATCATTTAATCATAATCCAATCCTACTCACTTGATTTCCCTTTAATCCTTCAATCTTCCATTCAACCCCATTCAGCTTCAAACTCTCAATCAATCAATCAATCAATCAAAGAACAATGCTCAACTCTTCCTTAGATCTCATCCCTTCTAATCATCACTCTTCTTCTTCTTCTTTATTCCCTTCTTCAATCAACTCTCAACCTGCTCAACACTTTCAGTCTACTTACAATCCTCGAACTTCAAATCTTTCAGATCAACCATTCACTTCTCGATTGCTTTCACTCAGTAGAACCAGGAACTCTAGACCACTCTCTGCTTTTTTGGCTCCTTCTGTTCGCTTACATTCAATGTCAAATCGAAGATCGGAGAGTCTTACGGTCCCTGAATTTTCTACCAATCGGAATCCTTCATCAGAACCTATCTCAGGAGATGAGTTACCATCCTACACTCGACGACCTCAACGCTTTAACAGGCCGGCTAGTTATGCTGGTCCTTCTAGCCTTCAATCTAGAGCTTCACATCAAATTCCATTACAACCTTCTATATCTGAACAACCACCACCTCGAGCTCAAATCGTTAATTTAAAGCCTCATATTGTCATCTCATCATCTGGAAAAATTCAACTTACTCTCTTTTCTCCTTCACAAGCACGGTATCCTGTTTTACTTCAAGGTTTTGATGAAGAGTTGAGGGGTGAGCTGAAACTAAACTTGGGTGAATTGGGCGAATGTTTTAGTGAAATCAGGGTCAAATTGAAAGGTGTGGTCAGTACTACAGTGGTACGCTCACAAGGAAATAATACTGGTAATGCTATTCAGTCAGTTGGCACCTACGTCGCACTTTTTGCTATTAATTGTGGTTCTCTACTTACCTGTCCCTCTCGGTCTTTCTTTCAGAGATGAGATTGTATTTTTACAACTTGATCAATCTTTATATCAACCTCCGTTAATCGCTACTTCGGAACATCGCCTAAGTGGCACAAAGACCTTTCCGTTCAAGTTTTTTTTACCTGCTCAAAGTTCGAATGATGTTACCTTACCACCTAGCTTTGCTTTGACTAGCTCAGCTCCTGATGCAATGGCTCCCTTCACTCGAGCTAGATTACCTTCCAAGACAGTTGAATGGGCGAGTGTCAAGTACTACATAGTGAGTCAGAATCACATCAGCGTTATTTCCTTATATCTTCAGTGTATACGGATGTTCATTTTTCGGATCTTCATTAGAAAGTCACATTGGCTCGAAGAGGCTTGCTTCGATCTAATGACCGCCTCTTAGCACCCTTTGTGCTTCTCTCGAGACAGACTCAGCCTCCGATCACCTCTATGACTAGACAAGCTGCTTTTAATTTAGGATTACCACTTCCTAATCCTATGGAAGATCCAGATGGATGGATGGGCCGTAAGATTCGACAATATGTCAAAATACCATCTTCGTATCACACTTCTGGCCCGAGATCTGCTTGGTATGAGGGTCAGTCCGCGATTTTGATCCGCAAATCTTCAATGATGTCAAACTTATTTACTTGTGTTTTTGTATTGTTTATTGTTACTAAAGTGATGGTCCTTTTACCATCACCCTTGTGTTATGGACGGAATAGACCGTTGCCATATTTTTTGAAATTTACTTCATCGGATCCTTCTGTGACGACTGATTTTGCTCCATCATACTTTGAAGTATCATTATTACAACGTGCTACTCTTACTGCACTAGGTGTTTCAGGGACTCATGAGGCAAGTCATCTCGATGATCTTCTCTTGTCAAAGCATGCAGGGAGGGTTTTACTAACTTACCAAACTTCTTGTCTTGTACAGAATACTCTTTCGAAAGGTATTCAGCATCCTGATGGACCTAATCGTGGTATACATGCTCCATCTGCTAATAGTCCGTATTGGAGTAGACGGTATGAAGGTGAATTGTTGTTAGGAACCAATGCGGTACCCGACTTTACTTGCCCAAACATTGTTGTTCAGGTGCGATGATTTGTTTGTTTGTTTTGTGATTGATTGGTGTGATTGACTGATGATTTTTTGATCGATCTTGATGCTTTTTTTCTTCATAGTATTTCTTTAACCTTAGAGTTTCTGTACCTAATCAAGCTACAGATCTAATTATCTCTTTACCAATTCAGGTCAGTAGATTTGATCAAAATAACTTATTCGATGAAAAGGAAAGCTGATGTGTTTGTTACGTTGGAATCTTTAGCTTGTTTCGGCACCTCGTCAATCTGGATCAGCTATACCACGTCTAAGAGATCCAACACCTAATACTCTTCATGATCCTCAACAAGGTTCGACTATTACGTTTCCTATACCATCACATCATCTTTCTGGTCTATCTACTGAAGATCCATCACCACCGAGTTATTGGGCAGTACAAGAGATGGATGCTCAAACTTGATGGATCATCTGACTTGATTTGAAATGAACATTTTTGTTGTTGATGATGATGATGATGATGATGATGATGAAGTCATGAAGGAATTTGTTTAATTTATTTTGTAGCTGTTTGATCATTTTGCATTGTTTTTTTTGCATTTTTGTTTATTGCAATTATCATCTGCATCGTCCTGCATCGTTTCCTGCATCGTTTTCTGCATTCTTTCCTGCATTCTTTTTACTTTTTTTAGGATTTCATGGTTCACATGATTGTATTTATGGAATTTCAAACATACATATACATCATATATCAATTCTCACTACATACATATATAAATTGATGGATTGTTTTTTTTGTTTTGTCTCGTTGTTTATTAAAAACTTGATGATGATGATGATTTTTCTCATCTTTTAGTTTTCTTTTGGAGTGTTAATGAATTTGATGATGTGGAATATGGAATGTGTGTTGATCTTGAAATATTTGGGTACTGGCTTTGGTTATGTGAAAACATTTTTTGAGAACTGGGTATAGTAGGCGGATTATCAGCAGATGATCAGAGGGAGGCTATGCAGAAGAGACTCATGATATTTACAGAGCGAGGTATGGATATACAGATAATTTTGTTTACAAGTGATTACAAGTGAGAAGGTATGCTTATAAGAAGTTGAGTACATGAAGTTTGATCGAATGACTCCATTGACTCTTATTATTCTGATTACCATCTCATTCGATCGACTTCAACTTCAACTTCAACTTGAACCTCAAGATGCCTTCAACTAATTCGAATCGATCACATCCACATCAATCTTCTTCACGTATACCTTCTAATCTAAATACTCCCAATGTTCCTAATAATTCAAATCAACCTCCAACTGTTCAAACTCGTCTTAGAGCTCGTCTAGGTTCTCTTCCTACTAGTTTACCTCAACCTTCATCTTCTTTACCTCTTCGAAGAAGATTACCTGCAAGTAGTCTTATGCCACCTGGTAGTCCTCTCTTCGAACAAGCTGGATCTTCTACTCTTGCAATGTCGCCTCGTCAATCTCCTGTTGCGACTAGACCTTCAACTCGAGCTGCTCAATTACAGGCTCAACAGTCATTTTCAAGTCATAGTCTTACTCCACTTCTCAATAGATGTTTTTCTACATCAGGTTCTCCTCAAGTACCTAACCTCACTTCGAAATTATCTCAACATGATTCGAGTCTTCAAGACCCTCAAATCTCTTGTAGCTTTGATCAAGATGGTCAAGATGAAAAAATGAATATCCAATCAACTGATCCTATCTCGTTTTACGATTCTGGTCTTCCTGATCACCTTGAAGAGGCTTCTATGGAACAAGCTCCTGATCAAACTTCATTAGATTGGACCATGACAGATCGTTTGAGATTATGGCGAGATGACGCGCGTGCTCAACATCTTTATGAGACAGCAGCCTTTTGGGGCGCGAAAGTTTATGGATTGACATCTAATCCTAATGATGCATTTTGGCTTGCTCAAGTTTATTTCCTCACTGGTCAATTTGTTCGAGCAGAAAAGATCTTGACTGGTGTTCGAAGAATTGCACGACGGCCACTTGATCTTGAAGAAATCAATCCAGATTCCACTCATGATGATTTGATTGTAGAGAACCTCACTGCTGCTCATCCAGATCGAGAAAAGAATGAAGCTGGTCGAGACGAGACAAATGATTTAGCGCCCGTTAGGATGACAGATTATTCAACTGCTTGTCGATATCTTGCGGCTCAATGTATGATTCGACAAGGAAAATGGGAAGCTGCTATGGAAATGGTTGGGGACGAGAATCCGTTTCGACTCGAATCGCAAAATCAACATGATCTCGATCAGCCTTCAAACTTGAACTCATCTCAACGGGGACCTAAACTAAAGGGACAAAGATCTGAACACGTAGATCATCAGCAGGGTTCAAGTAAAACAGGATCGATGGGAAAGAAGTATGCTGATAGTAAAGCTACTATGGATGGTGGAATCAAGTTTGAGTCATCAATGTGTTATCTTCGTGGACTGGTTCATCTACAAAACAAGTCACTTGACCGAGCTAAGGAATGTTTCTTGGAGTCTCTTGCTTTGGATGTTAAATGTTATGAAAGCTTCGAAGCACTTGTTGGTGGCAACATGCTCGAACCTGAAGAAGGTGAGGATCTCTCCCACTTCATTCCAATTTTGTTTTCCCTTTACTATCTTGTGACACGTTGCACGTGTTCTTTTTGCGTACAAAGCTGAGTTCTTTGTCTTCTCCTCAAGAGTGGGAGTTTATTCAATCACTTGGATATCATCATCAAACACCGGATGATGCACTTTTCATTAAATCTCTTTACACTGTTAGATTAAAGAAATTCAATCATAAGGAAGAAGTTTTTGAAGCATTTCGATTATTGAAAGAGAAGTACAACCTTTCAGACGATCCGGACGCGGCTTTTGGTCTAGCTGATTGGTTATTTACGAATTATCGATTCCAAGATTGTCATCGGATCACATCTAGGTAAGACTTTGGCTCTTTATGTTTCTGCTATGTCCCTCCAGAAACTAATGTGAAGCTTTTGATCTCTTAAGGATTCTGACCTTACATGATCATCATCCGCCTACTCTACCCTTACATCTCACTTGTATGGCAATGATGCCTCATCTCCGACCTTCATTATTTTTGCTGGCCCACGATTTAGTCGAACGAGATCCTAACTCGGCTATAAGTTGGTATGCTGCTGGACTTTGGTATTTTAGTCAAAGACGTTGGGAGGAGTCTAGGAGATTTTTTTCGTGGGTTCTCATCTCTTTCCTTTTGATACTCGTCTTGAGTTTTTTTGACTGACATGTGGGATTATTCGTTCTGTTAGTAAATCTGCTCTTATGGATTCTAGATTTGCACCTGCTTGGTTTGGATTTGGACATGCACTTGCTTATGAAGGTGAACATGATCAAGCCATCACAGCTTACTCGACAGCTTCTCATAATTTTCAGGGGTACGAGCATTACTGACTCAAATGATCAAGTCTCTGATCCACTTCGTTGGGAACAAAAGGCTCATTTGTTTTCACATTTTCTTTGGATCGTCTAAAAGCTCTCACTTTCCTTTGTTATTCATCGGAATGCAACACATTCAACTTGCCAATCCAACTCTTGCGTCCGATTATCTTCTGGCGGCTAGTGAAATTTGTCCGTTCGATCCGCTCGTATTGCATGAACGTGGTGTAGTTTGCTATTACCAAGAACAGTACGCATATTCCTTGGTTCGTCTTGATGCATGTGTTTGAGGCTGATGTTATTAAATCGGAAACTAAAGGTGGCAGGAAGGCGCAGAATTATTTGAATCTACCATCAAAGCTTCACAGAACAGTCAGACGGATCCCAAAATCTGGGCACCTACTTATTTGAACTTATCACATTGTTATAGACGATTAAAGTTTGTTTTTCCACTTTCTTTCCGTTTCAGTGAGCATTGTGTCTTCATATATCTTACGTGGCTTGGATTACCAACAGACGATACCCTGAAGCACTAGAGGCAGCAAAACAGGCTAAATATTTGCAGCCTCGATCGGCGGCTGCGTTGACTGCTACTGGAATGGCATTTCATGCCTTGGGAAACAATTCGGATGCTATCAGGATGTATCACGAGGTATGACCGAAAAGTCTTTGTTTCTCTCAAAGAAGCCAGATGATGATCATAAGCTCAAACTATGTGTCTCTTTGTTCTGTTCAGTCACTTGCAGTACTACCTGCTGATCCAATGACGACCTCATTACTAAAGTTTTCATTAGATATGGAATGTTGTTATCCGATTTTACAAACCAATAGACCATCCACTTCACCACCTGTTTCACCACCGTTTATGTTTAAAGGATTATCAAGAGAAGGATATGAACAGTTTAAAGAAGATTTAGTAGGATATGAAGAGAAGTTAAAGACTCAGTATGGGAAAGAGTGTACTTCTTCTACTCTTTTTGGTTATGCGCCTGAGAAGGAGGCAGGAACCAGTGGGGTTGGGATTGGGGTTGGAGGATTTGAAGAAGATGGGGATCGGATGGAAGAATAAAATGTGTGTGGGTGGGTTTACTTTGTTCTTGTTGGTTTGGGAAATACAAATTGAGTGATTTGAGGCTTGGGAGTAAAAAAGATACGGGAATGTAAATTTGTGTATTTGATATAATCCTTAGGCTTGACTTTGGTTTTGAGAGGAAATGAGTGAAGGATATCTTTGTGGATGTCAGAGATTTGGTTTAAAAGAAATATCATTATGTGGTCTACAAGAATTATGTGTTGAACTGTTGATATTAACGCATTGAAGGTTTATGGATCTTATTCTGATTTAACTTGACACTTTATGGTTATCTTGAAGATCAGAGCAAGACCATCGTGTGATGTACGACTACAGTTTGATGTGGTCAATTTGTGTGATGAGGATTATTTATTTGATTTACAACAATTGACTATTCATGACACTTGGTACTACGTGGTGAGCGCATTGATCTACGGGAGTCTGGATAAATGGATTTGGGGTCTTTTGTTCCGTTCAGTTTCTAGCACAGTTGGTTTTGTTATGTTTATGTTTCTCCAAAAATGTACATTTACTAATTTTTCATAGCTCTGGTGATGAAGCTTGTGACTCGTAAGCCACTACCTCATCTCACCCTTTATCCAACACCCGTATCAAGATAACAATGCGCGGGTTTGTTCTTGCTGTATGTACAGTGTAAGGGGTTGGAATGAAAGGATGAGTTTCTTGATGAGCTAGCCAATCTGATCTTCGTATGTATCTTGGATCATAAATTAAAATCACTCATGTCAAAAGCCTGCGCTGGCTCATCTTCTTCACTTTTTAATGGTGTTGCGCCACAAATTTATAGCCAATTTTAAGTAGTCTTGCGGGCAAATTGCGGCACGAGTTGTGGAATTGATGTGTACATAGTTAAACACGAACTTGACCTTCTGAGACTCGAGAGCAGAGATGGCGCGATATAATATTCCTGCATAGCAACAGAAGTTGATATTTGCATATACACAATAGCCAATTCAAAAAAAAACTTGTTCCGAATAGTCCACCTACATATCCGGTCGAGTTTTCTTATGATTTGTGGCTAAACTTCAGCCTTGAGATAGATTAAGGGGGGGATGTCTTGACTCTCTGTGAGTCTTCGAAATATAATGGACACAATTATTAGTGTCATCACATCCACGGAGGTGATAAAATTCAATTACTCTCGATCAACGTGGGGGTGGGGTTCAGAGGTTCAAGTCATATAGATTTTTTTCAGACAGGTTCTGAGGCTGTGTGAGGTGGACTATGCCTTGTGATCGAATGCGTTCGCTGCGAGAGATTCTTGGAATGATGGGCTATATTTTTTCGATTGGACCTACGTGACCTCAATAACATGCTCCTAATAGTCATGAAAGGAATTGTTCTAATCTCGGGTTTCCTTAAGAATTAGAAAGAAACAAAATAATTAGGTAGATTGGAAAAAAAACCTTTTATGAATGTTCTGGGTGCATACCAGGATCATCGGCCAGAGATTGGACAGGGTCATTTTTTACATGATTGCGAGGAAACCTTTTGCGAAAAAAAAAGTTTATCCGACAGAAACTGGTGAACCCATCCTTTGACAAGAATATTTTTACCGTATGGAAAATGTAGTAGCCATGCGAGGGCGAGGGAAGACTGGTATCGCGGTAAGTCAAGAAGCCTGAGATATGGGGATCCCGGATCTGCGCTCTCTTCTCATTCCTCTATGTAGCGCGATGACTATCATCTCGATGGGATCTCTCCTACGGGCGCAATGTGATGCATAGGATCGAGCACTTTGCCTACTACATATGTATTTGTGAAGTAGACAAGTAAGGAGGTTTCTAGGCGTCAAAAGACGTGATTCATGGAGGGTGATAAATTGAGAAATTTTTCAATGAGGCTGATTTCTGCCGTCTTTTCGAGTGGCTCTTTTACCTATAGATCAGGCAGCTGTCGTGATGTACACCATTTCAGATTAAGAAACATCAAGTATAGACGTACGAAGACGTATGATAATCAGATGAGTCAGTCTCCGGAATGAGGTCCTATCAAACACCCCTTGCAGGGAAGTTGTTGTATTCCGTGCTTCTGTGCTATCTGCCGCGAAAAATCGGCATGATCAGGAGTAAGGGAACTTGATATATAATTGAACACAAGAATGATCCCTTCGACGTAAACCATCAAAATCAACACACACTTTCGCTTTATCATAATAATAACTTTTAATTTATACACTCTGATATACATTCAAATGAATTCCCTTCACTTTTCTGTCATTCTTTCGTTTTTATTTCTAGTTGCTTTTGAAGCTAGTTCTGTGACCCCTCTTAAATCTCATGATATCTCTTCACGACATCGTCGGAATCGTAGAGCTGCCGTTTTACCATACGCACCTAATGGTTTAGATGCCGCTGTTTATCATTCAACACTACAATCAAGTTGCAAATCACCTTCTTACTCAAAGGTGATCACCGTTACTCAACCAATCAAAGTTGCAGCTAGACAAACCTTTGATTGTAAATTAGTCAAATATCAACGTGCTGATCGAAGTTGTAACTTGAATGTCGAAAGAGGTGGTGACCAAGCTGTTTTCCTTCTTGAAGAAGGAGCTACATTGAAAAATTGTATTTTGGGTTATTCTCAAGAGAGTAAGTTGATTTGAACTTCTTTGAGTATGATAATCAGATTTTTTTCTAATCGTGATGATTTCTATGCATTTTCTAGGTGTCTATTGTCTTGGTACATGTCGAGTCGAGAATTGTCATTGGTTGGAAATTTGTGATGAAGCAGTAAGCTTTTATATGCGAAGCGGACAAGCAACAGTTAGCGGTTGCTCATTTTCAAACGCAGGTAACAAGGTACATATTTGTCTTCGATTTCCAATAGGATGCGTCTAATATTTTTACAGAACAGTCCATGTATTAATCCTTTTTTGATTTTCCTCATATCTAGGCTTTACAATTCAATGGGTAATTTGGTTCCAAACTCGAAAAATTGATCTGATCAAAACAAACACATTGATTCTTTGTGGTACCTTTTTGTTCTTCAAACTGATCAGAGGTGGAACGGTGGTTGTCAATAACTCTTGCTTCAGTAACGTTGATATTGCTTATCGGTAAGACTTCAGCTCTTGATCTATTGATCTTTAACGTCCACTGATCATTCCATATTGATATTTAGCTCCTGCGGAAAAAAATGCTCAACATCAAAGAGGGAAGTCATCTTCAACAACATCGTCATCAATGGGGTGAATACTTTGGCGGGATATAATCACAGAGATGGTGATACAGCCCATGTTGTAAGTTACTCTGGGAAGGCTAAGAAATTCATGTGTGAGGTCAAGGATGCAAACACTCCCAAAGGTCACTTGCCACCCGGGTGAGTCAAATACATATTTACTTGAAAATTCCGAATCGAATCTTTAAGACGAGCGCCCTTTACTAATTCTTTGATTGTCGAACAGGTGCACCCTTGCATGATTAGGATACATGTTTCCAAATTTCCTCTAGCTTTTTCAAATTCGATCCTATGATTGTGATGTCGGATTACAATCTCACTTTAAAAAGTTGATCTTTTCTATTCTCTATTTAACATCTATTTATGTGCTTTCGACGTACCGCTGGATTGATGAACATGCTCATCTAGGTAGAATCAGATGATATTGATTGTCACTGAAGATTTCAAGTTGTATCTTGTAACCTGATTCTGATTGTTTTAGTAAACTGTTTTGATTATCCGATACTCATTGAGAATGATTTATGTTATACCCAGTAGCTCGAGTTTAAGTCTGAAAGTAGACTTGAAGGTGATTTCAATGTGAATGCAATTGGATTGGTTCTGTGAAAGGAACACGTTCAATATTCTCAACTCCTAGCTACGTGACTTATGTCTAAAGCTTCAGATGGATGATGTTGATTCATTGACTACGCGATGGTTTGCGTTAAAATGCTCTTGTCCAAAGACAATCCTGAAGCAGTGCTGAGATCAAGCTTATATAGGTCCCTCTCGGTACTCGTCGTACGTGAGCTCCACCTTTGTGTTAAGAGGTGTCGAGAAGAGCGATATCAAAGAAACAGATATGACTTTCTAGAATTCAATCCCTATAGCAATATTTTTGACAAGAACAAAAAAAACCTCAAATTCAATTGACTTTGCAACAAGACCTCTCATCACTTCTCCGTGCGGGAAAGAGGCACAATAACGTGAGTATACGCTTTAAGACCCTTGGATCACGTATGAGGGAACAGAGAAACAGAGCGCCTTTTGAAAGGTAGCGAGGGAGACGTGAAATCTATATTTTGGGCTGAGAATTAACGCCACTTACCATGAACATCGCACCTCTTGCAGAGCAATAAAATATCTAGCCCTAGATCAAAAGCCCACTAGCTGGCTTGTGCCTCTCATATGTGATGACGAGGCGGACATTGATGCTTTGGGATGGAATGATGTAAGAATTGATGAAACAGAATTTTGAGCTCCCTGCATGAGCACCAAGTTATCAGGGTCTCAGGATGATAGCTGTCATCAAACCCTTTCCTGAGATCCATTGTCTTATATATAAACCAGGGACTTTTATTGAGTTTTGAGTTCTCCATAGGCTTTCCTCCCGATTCTCGATTATCATTTCCTTACCTCTGGTTAGTATCATTTCTTATCACAGCATATCTTTCACTGTTTTTATAAATTTTACTTCTCATAACCCTTCAGCTACAAACCTACCACGACAATAGATCCTCTTGAAGCTCCTCTCGCATTACAATTTCAACTCAAGATCTGTGATCGTCTTCTTTTACATTTGATACTTGTCAAGCTTGCTTAAACGTCACTTCTACAAAATCCTTACACATAAACTGGACATCTCTTCAACCAATCTCAACCGGAATCCAATCCAGACATAAATTTCTTTTATCTCAACATGCTTATCCAGATACCTTCAATCCAATCTTCTGTCATTCATTTATTTCTCTTTTTGATTACTCTTGAAGCAAGCTTTGTGACATCATCAAATCCTTTACGATCACAACGAAGATCTGCCGTTCAACCTTACGCACCAAACGGGTTGAACGCCGGCGTTTATCATACCACACTCAAATCTAGTTGCAAAATTCCTCAAGCCACAAAGGTGATTACTGTAGACACACCCATCAAAGTTGGAGCTGGAGAAACATTCGATTGTAAATTAGCTAAGTATCAGCGTACAGATAGAAGTTGTAATTTAGACGTCGAAAGAGGAGGAGATCAAGCTGTTTTCATTCTTCAAGAGGGAGCCACTTTAAAAAATTGTATCTTAGGTTATTCTCAAGAAAGTAAGTTGATCTTAGAATTTCTTTCCAATCGATCATAATCCCAGAATGCTTTCTAATCATAAGATACACTTTTTTCCCCTTCTCTAGGTGTTTATTGTCGTGGTCAATGTACAGTAGAGAATTGTCATTGGTTACAAATTTGTGATGAAGCAATTGCGTTTTATATGCCAAGTGGAAAAGCAACCGTCAATAGTTGCTCATTCTCGAACGCAGGTAACAAGGTGCGCATTGTCTTTTGATTTCAGCTGGATGCTTCACACATTTCATGAACATATATTCATTTGCTTTGATTTTGCTTATCTCTAGGCTTTACAATTCAATGGGTAATTTTGTCTTACGATACATTCCTTAGCTCGGTTCATTTTGTGAGAAAATGGATTAATGTTTTGTAATGATTTCTTTTCATCGTCTCAGGGGAGGAACGGTCACTGTCAATAACTCCTGCTTCAACAACGTGGATATTGCTTATCGGTTAGAATCTCATTAAATCATTGCTCTTTAAAATCTCGCTAATTTTTTGGATATCTTTATTTAGCTCTTGTGGAAAGAAATGCTCAACAGCCAAGAGGGCAGTCGTCTTCAATCATAACACCATCGATGGTGTGAATACCTTTGCTGGATATAATGAAAAGCATGGTGATACTGCGCATATTGCAAGTTCTTCTGGGCAGGCTATCAAGCACATGTGTGAGGCTAAAGATTCAGATACTCCAAAAGGTCACACGCCAGCAGGGTCAGTCAAACATTCAATTTTTAAGTCTTAATAGCAGCTTCAAGACGAGCACACTGTACTGAGTAGTTTTTCATATTGTATAGGTGCACCTTCGCATGATCAGGGTGCATGTTTCCAGGGTTTCTCAATCTTTCTTAGAATCAATCTTTTGGTGTTGAGTTACAGTCAGATGTTTTCCGGTTTATTGACTAGACTTGATTGATGTGCTTCCAAGATACTACAGGATTGATGATTTATTCATCGCGGCAGATAGATATTGAAATTCATTGATGGTTCTAATTTCTTTTTGTGATAATCTCTAAATCTTTTTTTGATTATTCGATACTCTGATTGCGGTCAATCTTGTACCTAGAGGTTTCAAAGTCTGCTAAATATACAAAAACTCCAGGAGTATGTAGATGAATTGTTCTGTTCAAGACGTCTACCGCTTAAAGCCTACTAAAGTCTGACGACACGGTCTAGACTCTAAACACCCAAGGCTTAGGAGGCATGTCATTGACAGCATTTTGACCAATGTAAAAGATTTTTTGGAAATTTACCTTGATGAGTGTTATGACCTAGAACAGGGTGATAATTTGACAAAGAACATCGTGGTATAAATTGCAAACTTGGTATAATTCCTTCCGTCCAAACACTATCTTTCGTTTCACAAAACAAGTAAAAGAAATAGAAACTTATAAAATGCACACACACACAAAGAGATTCTAATTGATTGCAAACTTTTAAAAAAAATCATATTCAAGAAACACGTATACTTTCCTTCACGATACAAACTACATCCTAAATTGTTTCAAACACTTGATCCTTGCTATCATGATCTGTTCATTACTAAGAACATCAAAGCATGATATTTCACCCAATCAGCAGGCCGATATGCAATATTATACTTTTTATCCAAACATCACACGAAACAGGTTTGAATTGGTCATCGAGAAAAATCGGGAATTGGTATCATCACTGGTGTCGTTATCAATTTTTCTCGTTATGGGTCGTTTCTTATAGATATATTTATTCACAGGACTTTATGAATGACTTGATCAAAAGATAAAATGAAGACTGAAACGAAAGTAGGATGAGCAAATTGGATGAAGGCATTTAAAAAAGGTTTGAATTACATACCAAAGATAAAATCAAAGTCTCATGATCACCAAAACCCAGCTCCCTTTGTCCTGATTCCCTTCGCTTGATTTAACTGAGCTCGATGCTGTCCGAATCCACGAGGAGCTGGTTGATCAAGATTTCTTGCACTATTATTCTGACGAGGATCTCGATTCTGCTTGAAACTCAATTCAGGATCATCTTTCCCCATTCCGATGATCATAGGCCGAGCAGAAGTAGAATCATGTGACTTTCCGAAATCTAAACTTCTACCTTTCCCTTTGATCGGTTGTTGTGATTCAGGTCGGCTTCGATCGATCAACATAGATCGCTGTTGACGTCTTAATCCTTCTGGATGATTGTGTTTTCTAAAGAGTCGATTGAATTGTGCTTGCATCGGTCTGAGTTTGAGTTTCGTTGGTTGTAGCGCCACTTCCTCTGCTGCAGACGAGGGTGTGTTAGGCCCGTTGTAGTCTTGCGTGCTCTCTGATTCTCCTCCGCCGCCTGCTGCTCGACTAGTCACACTATCCCTACTACCTCTTCGACTATTATTGGCTTGTAGGGCACTCAGAAAGCTTTTGACTCGTTTTAGGCTGCTCATGCTTCGTTTGCCCGTACTACTCGCAACACTGCTTCCGCCAGTCTTTGGTCTGTTCTTGGTCAGTTTCGATGGCCGCCTATTCAACTGTTCGAAATCAGTCCGAGGTGGAGGATAAGATGATGATGCGATCGAAACATGACTAGTTGAAGGATTTCCACTGAGTTGATTATCTCTACGGAGGTCTATGAAGCTTTGAGGCGTTTGACTATTTCTTGGCATCCGTTCTTGAAACTGAGATACCGGTATCCCGTGCCTTTCAGAAGCTTGTGATGGTATACGAGGGGTTGGAAATGGGATGGCGGCCGATTGCGTATTTGGATAGACCGGATGGGCTGGTTGAGATGAGAGCTGGTTATAAGGGTGATGACTCCAATTAGCCTTCAACTGCTCTTCCTCTTGAGCTTGTACCCAGGCTCTGGTATCCGGTACAGGAAGCTTCACAGGTTTACTGTTTTGCCTGTCATCTTCTTCATTTGAAAGCTGTCTTATGTTTTGTTGATTGATAGGAGAAGTGGGTGGAGGATATGGATTTATCTCCGGATTGTAGACTATTGGTTTGAAATGATATGATGTAGAGGCTTCAGGTTGATGTTGGTCATGATTTGGCTGGTAGTGATGATCTGGATACCGATCTGGTTGAATCGAGTTCAGCTCTAACGGTCGATTGTTTGCCTGATCATAATTTGGCCGTCTTTGATCAGACATCATGAGCGGATCAACAAAAGACTCAACCATTGGATCTGATCCACTTCCATTCGTGAGTGGGGCTTTCCCTTTATGGTCCGATGGGTTCGAATTTGGCTTGGGTTCCAGGTTTGATTCGTTTTGAAACTTCTGAGGATCAGGTGGGTGATTGAAAGAATCTTTCAAGTCACTATAGTTTTGGTCATCAAGTGCTAAGATATTCGACTCCTGTTTTTTATGCTGATGATGCTGTGGATTCGAGGATGTTGGCAAGGTAGGATTGTGTTGATATGGCTCTGGTGATGGTACAAAGCGTTTGGGTGAATCTGGGTTCACACTTTCGGTTGATCATCAGTTGTCAAGTTGATTGCTCCATGTCGTTCGTGAGCTTGGAGAAGGTAATCGATTTGAGAATGATGCTTATTCCTGCGTGATTTGATTTGTTTGTGAGTGGCGTTGGGATCTAATGAAGCTTGAATCATAGCCTCTTGAGCTCTATGTTATGCAAAAAGACGAAAGACAAGGGGACACAAAAAAAGGCAAGAGAAAAGAAGAAACAAGAAAAGAGTTTAGTGGAAACAGTCACAAAAAAAACCCCTGAGGAATTTTGCTCTGTGATTTTTGCAGATAATGTGAGGTATAATTGCAAGGACAAAAATGCGGTGTAGCGGAAGACTGCAGGATTAAAAGCTCCAAGGGGTACAAGACGGAAATCACTGCGATGGGTCGGGTGGAACTAACTTTGAAATGACACTGGCTTCCCAATTGAGAGCAGCTAAGACGGCACCTGGATTGATAAATCGAAAAGTAAGATAAGAATTGAATTAGTGATTTTATGCTAGATGAAGAAAATGATTGGAAATGAAAACGTACCATCATATGAAGTCGATCGATTGATGAGTTTAATTGCACCGGCAAAGGCACGAAAACACCTTTGTATCATCCAAAATCAAAACAGAATCAAAGATCAGCCTGGAATGAATGAAATCAAGGAATAGAAAGATAGCTAACCTCAATAAGTAATCTCTTTTAACATTATCCTGATGTACAGCACCCAATGAAAGCAAATGATCCAGTTCATCTACAAGTTGATGTACCATTTCAGTTTTATGTTCAGGATCCCTAAAAGTCCGAACTTCTAAAGAATTCAAAGCTGATAATCTAAGGATTTCTTTTCTAAGATCATTTCCATATTTGTTTTTGAGTAAAGTTAAAGATTGAATGAAATTTGATTTTAATTCGATGGGTTGAAGTGAGAACCAATTGAGAGCGTTTGAATTGGATTGAAGTGATAAGATCAAGTAATCGAGTTTAAGTTGATCATCTTGATCTGATATGTTTTGAGTTTTAAACCAAGAGATTAATTTGAGTTGATGTAAATCCCAAGAATCATGAAGGTGACCATTGAAGCTTGGTAAAGGTGTTGAAGTTGAGCTTGAAGTTGAAATCGTCATTTTCAAAACCAATCGATCGAATGTAGTATTGACTCTTGCCTCTAAAGGAAATTAGTTGTTGCCTATCACCAGTTGCTTCTTTCAAAAGATCAAGTTGAGGAAATATACAAAATGAACTAATGAAAACAAAGTAGAGATGAGATTTTATAGCGAAGAAATAGAAGAAAGAAGTCAAGTAAAGAAGTCAAGAGAAGAAATCCAAAGAAAAGAAACTTCAGCAAACAAGTAAACAACAAGTCAACAACTCATCAAACTTCAAATCTACACTCTACATTCTACATACACATGTCACAATCTAATCACGTGACCCCTTTTCACCGCGCAATTTCCCCCTTTTTCCTCTTTCCACCCTCAATTAAGCCGATCAAGACTTCAAAGTTCGAAGCTGTCAAATCTAAATCAAATCTTTGGGCGAAATTCCAGGAAATAAACTTCAATAAAAAGATGGTGACAAACTCCGAACTATATTTTGTACAGTCGATTGCAGAATGCTTGGAAACTTTTGCCCGCCAAACTTGAGCAAATTGGCGTGGAATTCTTTCCAAGCTTTGTGAAATTGACTGTATGAACCCCACCCAACCTGACGCGTTATTTGTTTTTTAATCACTTCGGAAGTTTTTGGAGATGGTAGAAAGAAAGAATCAAAGAATATTGGAATGAACGATTGATGATTGAAAAATTGATTCATAAAACTTTCTTCGGATCTACAAAGTAAACAAAGTGAAAGAATGGATTGCTTCAAACAATCTGGGAAATGTTGTTTTGAGAGTAAACTACAGTTTTATAAAAGTGATCTCGATCAAACCAAGGATATCTTTCATTCTCATCAGTAACACGGACAACAACAAGAACAACAATCTTCGCATCCGATCCCAAGAACCACCATGACATTCCTCAAGGCCATCGATCAATGGTTCTCAAATCTAACCACAAATTCAATCTCAACTTACTTTCCAATCTCAACTTTTACTTTACTTCATTCGATTCGAGTGGCTTATCTATATCATTCAGTATTACAATCACAAGGCTTTAAAGTAGGTATCAAATCAAATCAAGTTTCATTCTTACAAGCCGGTTTGGTTTCCACAACTTTAGTCATCAGTGGTACGACGATGGCTTCGGTTTTGAAAGGTGAACCATGGGGTTTGTTTGCCGATCAAGGTGCTGGTTATATGGTTTCGGCTTATATGTAAACATTTTATGAAATCTATTTCACATTTTTTAAAATTTTTACTTTTTGATGAATTGATTTCTTTTTTTCCCCACATTCGTTTCTCAAAAATAGGTTAAGTGCTATGGGAATGAAATGGTTACATCCTATTCTATCTAGCTTACCAGAAGATCCATTAAAAGTTTTATGTTTCTTGATTGATGGTTTTGCAACCACTTTTGGTCAGTCTTCTTTTGGCTCAAGTTGATTGATCTTTCAATTTCACTGATTCAATCTATTGGAAAGATTAGGTACATTGACCCTAGGATTAAAACCAGTGCTTCAAAATCCTCAAATGACATCAAAGACAACCGGTCCATTAGCTTTACCTACCTTAATCTTACCACTCTTATGTGGTTCAGGTGCTTCGATCTTAGTCCCATTCTTTGGTCTCTTGAAACCTAAATTCTCTTTCACTCATCCTGGATTCTTATCTGAACGTTTACCGGTGGATTTCTGGGGTACTTTTCTCATCACGGCTATCTACGGTACCATTGTGGATGGTAGAGGTGTGATCTTTGGCAATTTAAGATCTTTGTTATCTATCATTGGAATCGGTAACAATTTTAAACTAGAAGAAGCTTGGATGGGATCAGAGGATGCACATGTGTTATGTTCTTTGATCTTATCAGGGATTTATATCGTCAATGAGTTTGGTCCGGGTATCTTCCTTGGTCCTTTGATTCCTTCAAAACCTATGAAGACTCGAGCACCAAGATCGAATATGGAAAAACCTAGTCAGACTCTCTCTTGTGATTATTTTCCGAAATAAGCCAATTATTGACGATTTTCTCATACTCAAATTGTAGGAAATACAATGGCCGTCACCACTGGTTATGCTACAGCACAACCAATTCCTGCTCATGAATTCAAAAAACAAAAAGAAAAACAATAAGTTTATTCAACGTTTTATACTACCTATCATCCTCCGTTAAAGCTCGTCAACTTTTACGATTCACGAGAAATCTGTCACGAATCACTGAATGCTTCTTTGAAAATCCTTTCTAATCAAACCTCTGCGGGCCTCAGTCTATCTCAATGCAAGAGTGTCTTGGTTTGTTGTATTCATTTTCTTCAATGTACCCTATATGATCCTACGAAAAGAACAAAAATTGCAAGAAAAAATATTTTTTGAACCTCTTGAGTACCATACGTTGAGTGGTCCCCATGTGCCAAGCAGTGAAATGTATGACTTGCGCTGGCCATTCACATTACAAAATCTTTGAAGGGACCAAAGGTGTGGATTAACACTCAACAAAAGCACATCCAATGTACCAGACGCCAAGCAGCAAGTAATTGTTTTGCAATGTTACACAGAGTGTACTTATACTGGGATAAATGTCAGCCAAACCTTTCAATCCCATCACACAGGGATATGAACGCATCTCAATCACCAAGCAAATGGCTTACAATGCAAAGCTGATGACAGTACTGATGGAGAAAACTGATGTGTCAATGATGTTTGAGATTGATCATTTGTATGAGGAGATATCAAGCCATCAAAAATTATCATCTTTCCTTCGTCGCCGCCAGGTGCACCGTGATGTGTGATCATAGCTTTCTAGGACCTCCTTGATATATCAACTTATATCTATCTGTTGATTGGGATCATTCTAAGCCAACTCATCATGTGGCATCTCATTCTCCAAAAATTTCCTATCAACCATCCACAATGTCTTTGCCCTATGCCAAGTTGTGCATCCAATCATATCACTTGTCTTGGTACTACTACCATCTGAGGTAGACCAAGCAATGTCACATCTCTTCTTCTCACACGTATCCAACTCTTGACATCCAGACAACATCACAAGAGTTGATGTCAGCCAGTACCCAGTCGCCTGTATGACATGTTCTTCAGTACTTTTGTCTTGGTTGGTAACATCTTGGGTAGCTACATATCTTCTCAAGTCTTTTCATACTCTACTCAGATCAATTTGACAAAACCTACGCAAAGCGTCCGAAAAAATATGACGAAAAACCTTCTGATCAGTTTAGGAAGGTTATCCACTACCCATAACTTCTGCCTATCACATAACAAGATCAATCACTGTGACATACGTCTCTAACAGAAAAGTTCTTGTGTCATGCAATTGAAAACCAGACTTTGAACGGCTGTAAGTTTTAAAGAGAATAAGTAAAACAAAGAGATAAAGGAAATAGAATGTATCGGTTGAATTAAAATTATGTTGTGTATGGGTACCCTTCTCTCGCTTCCCAACACCATTACTTTTCTGATCATTCACACTTGAGTAATCGTGCCTTCGTCAAGTCTAGCTTTGGTCATCGCTGCAATGATCGCACTTCCTACCCCTGAACCATCTTCTGCATGATATGTTTTCTGCATTATCAAAGCCCCCCAAACAAATAGATGTCTATCAGTCAAATGTGACATAGGTGCGAGAGAGAGGGATGCGAGAGAACTGACAATTCCCCGACCCTTTTCACCAAAGATATCGACGAGCGCTTGATGCAATCGTTCAGGGAATTGGGGGTATTTCTGTTTATGGATGGGGATCAGTAACGACCCGCTGGTTCAGGAGCCACTCTGCGCCTCTGGTTGCAAGATGAAATCACAAACGTTGTATAAACTACCATCGGTGGCTACACCGCAGCCGGCGTCCAACATTCCAGTCTTGGAGACAATAGCAGCGATTCCACATGCTGACAATCTGGCACTACGAGTGCCGATGAGTTGAGCTAATCGGCGGAAAAATTGACGTTCAGAAATCGTGGTATCCAACATGAAGAAATGAGTAAAGAGGCCAGTGACAGTCAAGAGTTCTTCCGTCGGGTCACTGTATAACGTACGACAGATCAATAAATTTGTATCCTATAAAGAGAAGAAGAAAGCCAAACCTTTCGATCAAGCTCAAGAACGCAGTATCGAAACAAAAGCTCTTTTCGATTTTATAGGTATTCTGGCCCAAGAACAAGATACCTTCCTCAATCATCTCAACCACAATCAACCGAAAGATCTCACCCAAGTACAACCCAGCAATCATCTTTTCAAATGCTTGTTCACCAGGCTTATTGGAAGTTTCATCAATGATCAGATCATACTTGGTTCGAGGTAAATGCTCATGTTTCTCGCTATCGAATGCACCCCATTCACAATTGATTGCCATCTCAGCGTCAGGAGGGAGTCCAAGATGGGCGATCTTGGGGATGTTGGAAATTTTCTCCATGTAAGCCGCATTGCAGCCTGTACCAAAGATCACGCCAATACGGGTCGAAGGATCTACATAGGATGATGCGATGAGCGTGCCAGTGGTATCATTGATCAAAGCCGTGAGTTTGATGGGTACGTTCTGTGATGAAGCAAAAATTTCGAGTTGATAGAAGCACGCTTGTGTAAGGATTGATCTGGTAGATAAATCTTAATCAAGGAAATTATATCATACGTGTTTCTTCAATGCCTTTGCAAACATCTCGCCCACATCATGTCCCTCCACGTTGGGGTTACCAAACCCTTTGGTCCATCGCAGGAGTTCTCCATGATCAATCCGCTTTTGACTGAGATGATCGATAAAATGAGCATCAGCCATTTACGTCTGATTGAGATATCGAAAGCCAGAAAACACACATGCAAGGATAACTGAACGTAAACCCTAAGGCGATCTCTTCTTCAAGTTGCAGGTTACCGGCCTCATCGGCATATTGGTCGTAAATAAATCTATTGTGACACATAAATGAACGTATACCTCAATTATTTTACGATCTTCAGATGACTGGCATAAAAAGGATTCATACGTGTGTAAACATTCTGCGCAAAAGTCGAACAATTTCTCGCCTTCCTGTTGCTTTTGTTCTTCAGTTAGTTTGTACTTTGCTTGGGTGATTTCAAACTTTCCTTCGCCTTCTAATTCAACATGACAAACTCTCAAATTTGTTCCACCTAGAAGATTATTAAGATCAGTATAGAAACATGGTCAAGAAATAAGTAGAAGAGACAGTCTCGAGTCTTACCTAAATCTACGGCGAGATAAGGACCAGTCTCTTTGCCTGAGGGCCAGCCAAAGACATAGGTAGGTATCATGGGCTAAGGCGAGTGGCGATCAAGCAAATGATTAGCAGGTGTCAAGAAAAAGAGCTGAAAACCATGTACAAAACCCAAAACTTACGACAGCTTGTCCATTTTCTTTGAGACCAATTTCAAGAGTGTCAATAAACGCATCGACAATCATCCTCATCCTGTGGTCATTCCGCAAAGTGTAAGAAATCAAATAGCCTGAAATTGTGGAAAAGAGTGGATTGACGGTTTACCTTTGGGGAGTAACCGTGAAGAGATGCTCAAACTTGCGCAAATAGTCTGCCATTTGCATCTTTGTCGCATGTGGAAGTTCAGCATTCTCGTGAGTTCTATGATAGAGTGGTGTGTGAGAAGGATGGTAGTCGGAACCATGATGTGAGTGACGAATGAGTGGAATTCGAACAGATGCCGGCAAAGAGGTGGTGGTCATAGATCGACGGTTTGATCGAGAAGATGCATGATTTGTGAGAAGCCGATTGATATGTGAAGTGCCATTAGTAGGCGAACAGTCGTTGAAGAGTGGTTTGTGACGAAGAGCGGTGGCAAAAGGAGTTGAGAGGTCGAGGGTATCAGATGGAGTGATCGATTGAGTTGAGTTGGAGGTTGAAGGGGTACAGAGTGGAGTTTGATCGAATGCAGACGGAAGGTCAACGGAAGGGGTGGCGAGAGGTACAGCGGAATGAGGCATGATGCGAGTTGAGAAACAAATGTTTAGAAATCAGTGTCAGTGGTATAATACTTATCACCAATGAGCTGGTCAAGCGGTAAAAGGTAATAAGGAGTCTGATGATCTAGCCGAATGCCAAATTCAAAAGGAATCCAAAGAAAACCAAAGAAGGAAATCAAGACGGAAATCCAAGCAGAAAGCTCAAATCGATCGAAACCAATGGCTGAATCAGAACCAACGATCCAACCCGCATCATGGAGCGAAAGCACTTGAGTCCATAAAATACAAGGATATTAAGGATATCTTAATTGGATAAGTTGTTATCATACAAATTCAATCGATTTCAACCATCGATTGAAATCGATGGATTCGTTAAGGTCAACCAGCTTGAACCCACCGGCATGTGGATGTGAAGAGTTTGTACAGTCTTTCTAGGATGATATTGGTCGACTGTATGTAAACTGCAGTACAGTCTTAATCAGGTCAGTTGAGTCGTGGGGAGAAGAAGAAGGAATCTGGCTGTCTAGGATTATAAAGCCAAGCTCAGAGAAAAGCGAGATGTTACCCGATGAGTGTTTAGGATGATAGATGGATGAAAGGAATTGAAGATAAAAGAAGGACAGATAAAGAAGATTCAAATACCTAGTATGAACTACGATTGAACCTCTACCATCAGCTAAACTTCGACTACCACTACGTCTTCTGATGGTAACACTCTTTCGAGTATTAGGATCGAATCCATGAGGATGATGATGATGATGTTGATGAGCAGCTGTTTGTGATTTTGAATGATTTGAGTTAGAATGATTAGCAGTACTTGAATTGGAGGTAGTCATCTCTTTTTTTGTTTAGTATTTGAAAGGGTTTAAGTTTGAAATGATCGGGTAAAGAAATCCAAATGCTTTTGTAGTTATTTTGTATTTTGAGATTGAGATATGGAATGATGAGATTGTAAGTTGAAGGAAGTTTGATTGATTGATTGATTGATGGTTAGGTTGAGATTGATCAAGTCTTTTGAGACAGAAGGGATCCTAAACTGATGGATGGATGGATGATTTTAATTTTACTTCTGTGTTTTGAGATCTTGATATTTACAGGATGATATCTTAATGAAGTTTAATATCGTAGCAGTAGTACTCTGATCAACTTTTTACTTGTCTCAATCAGTTTTCTCTCTTTTATCGTTCTTGAAGATGGTTGGGGTTCATACAAACTCAATTATTAGGACTTTTTTAATATCCTAGATTAATATAAATCTCCTTATCCTTATATCGCACACTATATGAGATGACCTTAACACCTTCTCATCGTAATCACTACCAACACTGATCTGATCTTTCAATTTCATTTGCTCAACTTTCTCAGCTTTGATCTGCTTTGATGCTTCTTATCTTTGATCATCATCATCAAATGTGAAAAATCAATTGCAACTACCAGGACGATCTTGGACTGAGCAGGATGCTCTACAATTGTATCCAGTGAGCTTTCTGTCATTCCATTTATTCCATTTCCATAAGTATAACGAGTTCCTCAGAGTCATCACAGCAAAATTCTCGATCAACCATGCTTGAAGTTACACAGCGTATTGAACTTGAATGCTGTCGAGAAAGCAGTGTTGACGTATGTACATGACTCACAGTGGTAATACGGCTAATACGGTGCTCATTTCTGTGTACAAGAAAGTCTCCAATCATGTGGGCTCCGGGAACCATCCTCGACTTGATCCTATTCGAGATAGCAAACTGAAAAATGAAGCTGAAGGGTTCGAAGCTGTACTCATCTGTCCAAATTCATCATGACTTCAATTTATGCTATGAGCGGTTATTACTGCATTTTCACAATAGGATTTCGAGGACTGGCAATTTGAGCAACTCAAATGTGTTAAATTATGTTTAGAAAACTCTGAGGGCGGTTCAAGTCAATAGTTGCGATCCACCTGTTTGCAGAGTCGCGATCAGTCTTTTTAGGGTTGTCCGATCCTTAAAATTCCTGATCGCGACTCTGCGAACGCACTTATAATTAGGTTTTATGGCTTTACCTTTTCAGGTACACCGTCTGCGAATGCGCCTTTTTTTCCTTGCTTTTTTAATTGTCTCTTGTTTTTGTCAGGAATTTTTTTTTTTTTCATCAATTTGTTTTAATGAAAATACGCGTTTGACGCACCACGAGTGGAACACCAAAAAAAAAACCAAAGAAAAAAAAGGTTTTTTTTGGTCCTTCGCACCGGATTTTTTTACGATGCCACGGCAGAGAATTATAAATTTTAAGACAACTAAGCAGATCGCAAAATGGTGAACCACCTCTAAAGGTGGTTCACCAACTTTAAATTTTACTTAAAATTTAAAGCCCCCGAACTAAATGTAAAACTTAAAAAAGGGCTGTAAAAGGGCTACTTGAACCGCCCTATTCTGAACGACGTTTCTAATTTTTCTTTGGATAGCTGAGAACTATCTTATGACCTTGAAAATTATGGAAATCAGTGAATGGATCCTCTCGACGTTCCCAAAACTCATGGAAGTTTTGATATGTCTTGATATCTTGACCATGCATCCTGCAAGTCACTTCTGACAGCATGGAGACTCCTGAGTCCTGATCGTGAAGCTGCCTCTTGGTAGCTGTAGGTGGATATACATATTGTAACTCCTGGAACAACTCTGGCACCACTGTGATCACAAACAAACATGGAACTCGTGCAAAGATGACACCATACATCTTTATTGATATTCACGCACGCACCACTCAAACAAACATCTTCAGAAAGAAAATGACTAGTAAACACAACAGAGAATGAAGTATGATAAAGGTAGATTGAAGTTTAATAGAAATATCTCTTTTCATTTGAGGAATTAAATGATGAGCAGGTTAAAGCAATATGGTGAATGAGTCTCTCATTCCGGATTCCAGCCCATGATTCAGAAAACTTTCAGCCATTTATACATCAAACCAGATCTGTATCATGAACTTTCTTCAAACAAAAAGTTTTAAAAGCCTCGAAGATATTTTTTGATGTTCCCAGCTCGTAAATTTCACAATGAGAGTAAAATAGAAGTGACTGTATAATTTTGTTCCAAACTTCTCTATCACTGGTGTAAAGATTAGTTGTGATCAAGCTGTCTGAGATTATACTAGTATGTATGTATACTAAACTGAATACTTCAAGTGGAGGATCTTCAGTTGCTACAAATCAAGTAACAATTTAGGTGACAGTACAGTCATCAGAGCTTTGAAGCAGTTTGTGTTTGATGATTGTGGACATAGTTTAGTTCAATTCTCATTGCAAGCTGTGATGTGGAATCAAAATTGAAGATACCCTGCTAAAAGGTGCCAGAATACTTCTCTGAGATGTGACCAAGTGGTCTCTTCTTGGATTGTAGTTAATCAAACAACCAGATGAGCCCCGAGTATCATGACTGTATGCAACATGACAATGCCAACCACTCATGGAGAGCAAATTTGGAATATCATGGTGATTTCTACTTAAGGAACAAGGTTTGCCCAGGAGTAGGCCACACATTTCATCTCATTACAATGGGTTCTAAAGTGTACCATCCTTGAACACTTTCAATCCAATGAAAGAACAAAACAAATGTCTAACATGGGCACCAGAACCTTCCAAACTACATGCATCAACACACGTACACATATAGATACATATATTCATCACGAGTATAAAAACACCCTAATGTGAGAGAGTCTTTCGTTGATGCCATCACGACGAGACGTAAAAGGACGCAGATGACACAGTACTTCAACATGGTATATTATAGCAGTATAAATTGACGAAATCTAGGAAGGAAATTGATCAAGAATGGAAAGGGAGATAAGAGAAACATTCCGAGAAGGTAGAAGATAAAGCAAAGGATTATTGGGCCAAAGGTCTTGTGTATGATCCGCGTGATTGTTGGCGGGCGTCAATTATGTTTTTAGAAACTCGGGAAAGGAATTCATCAAGATGATAAAATTTCGATTTGAAAAAAGAAGACTGGCGACTTGCTACTTCTGTTATTTCATAATCTTGCCAATAGCAAGTCTAATGCCAAAAACCCAAAACTATGGGCACCAAAAGTTTGAGCAGGTGCCTGAGTGCTAACAAACCAAGCGGTATAAGCTCGGTTGATCTGGCGATCCCGCTCGATCCGTTGCGGATCGTCCTCATCAGCATCGAGCAAGACTATCTCACTATCATACAATGCTCCTTCTCCCTCTTCAAGGATTGCAAGTCTTATTCGTTCAAACAAGGCAGCGGTCTGAGTTTCAAGCCGCTCGAGGGTATTCTTCTTCAAGGGTCTGTCCGATGTTGTATCAGTGAGGACGACCAGGAAGGCTTCTGTCTCTGCAAGATGTCGATCTACCTTCCTGGAGAGCGTGTTCAATTTGCAAATTTGCATCAACTCTTCAGCATAACTCTTCATGACCTCTTGAAACTGTCCCATTAGCGTCGAATCGGGTTCGGCCTTTCGAGCCAGGGTGCGCCGCATTGCTCGTCTTACAGCTTTGGAGATTACGTCGGTCGGGTCAAGTTTCCCAAAAAGCTGCCCTTTGTTCCGTCTTGTACGGCCTGACGTGGCTGGTGTAGTGACCGGTGGACCACCAGGATGAGTATGATGGTGAAAGATGTCGATTTTTTCAGCCGGGATTTGTCGAAAAAGTTTTCCCAAAACTTTTTGAGACTCGTAATAGTCATCACCCTCACGACGTTCATGGTGCTCGGGACACATAAAGTCTGGTTTCATTCGATTAGGAGCTCGTGGCAGTTGATCGATTGCAACCGGAACTCTGTATTAATGATGAAACCACTTTCCATGTCAGTTGAATGGAATTCCAAAGTCCTGAACAATGGATTCCAAGGGAGCTCATACCCTGTCTTTGGATAATCTACCGCATCTGAATGCAATGATACTAGTTCAAGACATAGATCATCACGAGTACCTTGGTCCGCTTGATCAGCGATATGAAGGTGTCTTGAAGCGATCACCCCTACCAAATCGCTCGAGATATAATCCAGAAAGAACGCAGCGCCGTCTTCGATTCTGGTCCAACAAACAAAGCTCAAATATCAATGTACTGCCGCTGTATCACATTTCGGGCTCTAAAAGCTCACGTGCATGGTCGGTCAAGTCGCTTCATCTCAGGGGCTGTGTAACTTGCCGGCGGATGCAACCTGGCAGTAGCCGGAATCAATTCAGGCAATGTGATCAAGGTGTAGAGATCGCCATCTAAGTCACCACCACCAAGACATGACGGTAGCGATCTCATACCTGAGAATATTGACAGAGAGCTAGATTGAGCAAAGAACAAAAGTGAACATGATGACTAATAGAGAGACATACCCGCGACAGAGAATACCACACAGTTTCTCAAGGCATTCAATCGAGGAGCACGTTCCAGATCCAGTTTTCCAATTCCAGTGACGACTCTGACATCACCTGGATGCAGGCAAGGCGAGCGGGAGATAGTGATCGGGCCTTCCAAGTAGAATGGCGCCTTCCCCGGGTACTGAATGCAGGCATAGACAAAATTGGGTGGCAGAACTTGATCTTCATCGGCAACGCCGACGAGCGTATAAGAGGCGTCCAAAGGAATTCTTGCTCGGTACTTGAGATCCCGGAAACATTGCATAATCATCAAGTCATAACATTCCTCGATGAAATCAGACTGTGTGTTGCTTTCATCTCCCATCAACGTTCCCAGTTGTCGCAAGATCGAGGGCATTCCACTGGTGCGAGCCATTGAAAGTTGATCCATGAGTTCACTGGCTCGACGCAAATTTGTACGCGAATGTTCAACTTTGCTAACAATCTCCCGTTGTAGCGCGAGAAAAACTTGTTCATGTATACCAAGATCTTCCAATACTTTGATCATAGGTCTATTCAGATACGCCGGGAGTGGCCTAGTAAACGAGCCCGCGATGTCGAGGGTCAGAGAGTCTGGTGAGACGAACTTGTCCATCGAAGGCCGTACGCAAACACACGCCTGTTTCAGGGTCGGATCGACAGACAACATTCCCTTGAAACCACCTAACCGAATCTGAAAACAACTAGAATTGGCATGGTGTCGCCGCTTACGAGATGGCAGTCCTGCAGACAACACCTCGTCTACTTGACGCGCCAAGTCGGGTGAGATTGTCCCCACGCCATCTGTGAAGCACGAGCCATTACGTTCGACATCCTCAATCCTGACGATTTGGCTAGGCAATAAAGTGAGGGATTGTCGAGTGGATGTAAATGCTTGTGCAACTCGGGCCATATATCGCGCAGGGATGTTGATCCTATTTCAACATCGGAGATCAGCATTCCCATCTCAGCGCATGAAATACACGGCATAGCAGATAATTCGTAAATGGCAGACTCACACTTTACTGAAATCACCCAGTCGTTGACGAATCGAGGCAGCTGTGACGAGAGAGTCTCCCTTATAAAACGGGCACACAAACCAAGCTTGATGCTCCCGTAACGCAGAAGAAGAGTAGCCTAAAAACTCGAATTTTCGTCCGCATAAGTTTAAGCCTTGGGTCAAGAAGTCGAGATATCGTGTCTTCAGTAGCCTCAAGATGTCCACATCTCGATCGGGTCGGAGTGTCAAACCGTTTTCCTCTCGAATGGAGATTCTGAGAAAATTGTGCGTGTCGCGATACATTCGAAGCACGCTGTTGGACTGCTCAGTCACTGGTCCTTCTAGTATAAATCGGCTAGGGGTGATGGTGACTGTACGACAGGGGAACGAGTCACCAGACAAGAGGCGGGGATCTGGAGTTCGGCTGTCGATCAAAGTGAATTCTAGCGATCGAGTCAGTCGGTCGAGGTAAGTAAGAGTGACACCTTCGTCATCATCCTCATCATCATCAGAATTTTGAAGGTCTCGAGTTTGGAATTGAGCTAGAATGGCGTTATAGTGTATCAGAGCGCGCTCGGCGTGATCTGGATCCACGCTGACAAGAGCTTCACAAACATTTCGAATTTGAGCGGGATCGAGGAGCCCATGGGATAAGAGAGCTTCGATTTGAAAGCCAACAGGGATTGTAAAGCACACAAGAAAGGCTTCAAGAGCGGCTAGGTTCTGGGGCGTATAGAGCTGCTGTTCAATGGTGGGGCGGGTAAAATGGATGATCTTGGGCAGTCGAACAGTAGTCTTACGAGTGCAAAACTCTTTGTAAGCTTCATAAGTTCCAAAAGTGATCCGTAGACGATCAGAGACGAAAGGGAATACGTGTTGTTCAGTGGTATGTGGACAAGGAATGCGATATCGAGTTTCAGTGACCTGGATCAGAGGTGTTCAAAGAGATCAGCAGATGGTGAGGGATGGATAAGGGGAAGGGAGAAGTTGATTCAACCTGTGCTCCTTCTTCCGCTCGTTGATCATGATATGACTGAGACTCATGGCGAGTGATTTGGATGTCTTCAAAAGTAGGAGGAGTGTCCAACCAGAGAGTGACCGACAGTCGATCTGCTTCGATGCGCTGTACAGACTTCATCCTGATTACCAGGGAACGGGCAGAAGAAACTAAAGACCATCGGATCCAGAGCAAGTTATTGACCGTATCAAATGTGAGTAGAGAATCACCAGTGGCCAACAAAAGAGAGAATTCAGAAGCAAAAGTCGGTTGGGCACTTTCAGTGTTGAGGGTACGACCAAATTCAAGACAACTGATTGAGAATGGACGCAGAAGTTTCTCCTGTTCAAGCTGTTCGGTCAAGAGTGAGATACGATCCTTGAATGGGGTTTGTTTGAGGGCTCTCACGAGATCAGGATGAGGCATTGTAACACGACCTTGACGAGTAGATTGTTTGAAGTTGACCGGGAAAGTACCAAAGATGATTAAAGGATTTACAGAGACGTAAGCGTCAAAACGTTTAGCCAATAAAGTCGTAGGAAAAGTGATGGTAGCCGAAAACCGAGACCTAACTCTTGAATGACGATATTGAGAGTTCGGTTGAAATGGTCGAGAAAAGTTTTCTCTTACAAGGACATCAAAGTTATGAAGTGCTTCATGAGCTTGAACGTTCAGTTCCCTAAAAGTTTTACCATGGAGTACGCTACTGATCACATCTATCAATTCTAATCTAGTATCTGAAACGTTAGAGAATGGTGGTAAATCTTGAATGTAAAGTTCCATCCCAACTAGCTTTCTTTCCAAATGCAAATGATGGAACTAAAGCTTGATGGATATCCAGAGAAGTTCAAAAGGAAACAGGATGATAAAATGATAATTGATAGATAACTTTGAAGGATTGAGATTCTTAGGAACACAAATTGACATCCATCTCATTCGAAACAGTCTTGACTTATAAGATATATCATCAGAAATGGTTCATCAAGCGCATTTGTTGAGAATAATCTTACAATGTTCTTCATGATCCTCGTATGATTAATTAATCTTACAATGGGTGATGAAACAAAAAAAACTTAATCTCAAGCGCATAACCAAATCACCAACAATAAAGGATTTCTTTAGAGAATCTGCCATTAGTTTGTAACTAAACTTAAATCAACTTTGATTGAGATTCAGCAAACAGAGACAACTAATGCTATATCCCGAATCGGGCATTAGATTTTGAGGCGCGGGGTGATCAGGCCAGGGTGACCTCAGCTTTCTTGTATTGCGCACATTGAAAAACCCAAGGGAAGGTTTTCCTTGCCTTGACCATGTGGGGGGGGCAATAGAGACAGCCTAGGAGCAGTGTTCTTCTTTGTGCGAGGTGACGGCGTCCGTTTCTCTCAACTCGAAGTCTCGGGACCAGCTGATCAACGACTTTTCGCAATGTCATTTCCTCCATTATTGCCATCTCGCCATCACATGCGTCTTTCCGGTTAAGAGTTTCGAGGGGCTGATGTTCATCCAGCGAGATATCACATCTGGAGTCTCGATAAGTAATTCGTGCTTGAAAACTATAACTTGAAGGGCATGGATAGTCTGCTCTGAGCTTCCTTTCTTAGGGTTGACGTGTTGAACATTGACTTCATTCATCGAAAAAAAATCTTGAAGGAACAATCATAGAACCCCACCTGGTCTACCGAGGTAGAGCCCAATATGATGCATTATGAGGATTTATGCCCAAGGATAAGTTCAAAACTGGCATGCATGTTCAACCACAACCGAGTTTGTCAGGATCTGTGGTGTGTTAGACAAAAGAGCTTTCCCTATGATGTTCTCTTTCTCCCCTAACCTCGAATAGGTTCTCATGTAAAAAGGCTATCTCGTTTGAGGACTTTGATATGCGTCAGTTTATTATTCAAGTCCACCTTAGGTAAATATTGAAGATGGAAGGGGACGATAATGTGAGGTGTGCACATGCACA